AAATGGCGAAGAACTGTGGTCAACAGCTCTTGGACCCTCGACAGGTCGCAGGGTCCAGCCTCGTCCAAGGAATCCATGTTTTTACTCACATTTTATGTGAGTGGGTTCATATTTCAGATATCGGAAGGGAGGTTTAATTTGCTGGTATTGCAATTTTTCAGCGTCATTGCCGTCTGATATACTCGGCTGTTAACACCGGAGTTGTAATCATCATGCAAAAATAAAGAGACAAATGTTTCAAATTATCACCTAAACCCTGTGTTAGATACGTGCACTTGATTTATCGAATATGCATGCGCATGCAGTTGCATTGATATTTGCTGAAAGGATCTGAACCAATATCTGCTTTACTTTCCAAGTAAACTTTTCACGAAAAGTACGCAACTACCCTGTCATACCAGACAGTATTTCCCTCAAAATTACGGTCCTTTCTGCACACCATAGGAGATTCAGCTTCTTTTCATTTCGAGGCACGACGGTTTTCCCAACTAATTTTAGGCAGTACTGACAGTTCAAGCCCACAACATGAAGAGCGTATACAACTACTGACAATATTGGTCGTCAAAACAACAATCCTCGGCCCCCGAATATCAGCAAAAATGTATGGGACAGTTGGTGTTCATCTGAATTCAATTTACAGTGGTGCAGTTAGATATTTGTCACCTCGAAAATTGCCTGGGAGTTCAGTTGCCCACTGATCCCTGATCGCTTTCCATTCGCTGCGTAAATAACTCCGCACTATTCGTCTTCACGTTTTCGTGTAATGTCTGAGGATGTCATTCTTTGGCCACATTTCGCTTCGGAAGACACTTGATAATAGGTTACTGTCCCGAGTTTAGCAGTCGCTCATAGGAAAGCCCATTTAGTTTGTTTTTCTGGATCAGAATGATAGGATATAGGTGATTATCTGTCTAAAATAACCACGGTTGGTTACTTTCTGTATGACTCGTGAAACGGAATAAAGCTTACAATGATTCATTTTCACAGGAGCATAGAATCACCGGGTACAAAAGATTTAAGACAGATCTCATCCAAGTAATGATAATGAGGAACATTTAATTAATTCAACGTTTGTTCACTTTACTTACTAGTTTTATCCCCAAGACCTGTTTTCAGCTTGCGGTTGTACATCAAAGACCCGGCAACCAGCGTTTGAAAATTGCTGTTTAGTTTTCTCCCTTTTCACAAACTGATCAGTTGACCAATTAAGTTGATATTAGAGACAACGCACAGGACGATGAGGCCCCTTGCATACTTTCTTCGTTATACTAAGTCATTTGAGCATTAACTGTTCCTTGTTCGCTTGATCTTTAGTACCTCGAACATGGAAATTGTAGATTCTAACAAATCGCACGTACCTGCACATGTGGGAGACAGAAGTTATGCTGCCAAACTGCAGCATATTGGAGAATGGACAAGAAAGTTGCTTTGAATTTTTTTTCAAATGTTCATGGTCGCAGTCTTGATTTAGGGAACTCTGTCGAATATGTTGTTACGCGGGAAATATTTTTGTTGGTCCAAAGTCGTAGCACTTTTATGCTGTTCTCACTACTAGAGCAGACTAGAATTGTGATGATAGTAGTCTCTTACCACACCCCAATAAGATATCTCCAAATTCAGTAGTGTTGCACTCGAAAGTGATCAGAAAAATGACAAAAATTGTCATAAGTCAGGTCACGGGGCCTGTTTAGTCTAAGCGAAATTAATTAATCACTGAAAGTAAATCCAGTTCAGTGTGATTGTTAGAGTTCGAATATTCCGAATTCTACAGCAATGAACGATCAGCGTGCAGAAAAGACGCATATACTCAAACGCATATTATGAAATAAGAAGCTTGGCTTGAAGCTCATAAGTTATTTAGTCGAAACAGCCGTTTTGGAGTGTGCACATAGAAGACCTTTCTCAGCTTATTTTCAGAAAAGACGTAGAGTAAGGACAATCTGAGTTCAATAGATGTTCCAGTTGCTACCACCAAAGAATAAGGAGCTGATTTCAAACGACTTCTCAAATCTCTGATGTTATTGTTTGTTATTTTGGTCTTTCAAACGGTTCTTTCCATCCAAAAATCAACGTTTGTCTTCACATACCTTACAGTTGGCCTTTGGAAGTCAAGACAACAAGGATGTCCATCCCTCCTTCTCTCCAGTTTGTCCATGGTCGGAAAAGGGACCCTTGAGAGTGGCGAGTGTTGTTGCGTGGTGCAAGAAATTTTTGGATGAGGAGAGGTAACCATGGGCTCCCATGGCCGCTCGGGGTGCGCAACATTAGAGGCACACTCGTAACTGGAACTCGCGTGCAGCCAGTCGGTTACCCAGTGGGAGTGTCATCGATGTCAGTGAAAACCTCGGTCGCCTTCTATCTCTACACCAGCAACACTGTACGGTTTGTGCGTCAGTTGTATTGAGAGCGTACATTTACCTATGCCAGTTGGGTCAAAAGGAAGTTCTTTAAAATCTATCATTGAATTTGTTACTGTAATCTTTGTTGTATCAAAGGACTCCAACAGATGTTGTTAGGAGTGAATTTTACATCATAAAGCCATCGTTTTTCAAACGCGGTCACATTTTTACATGATATTTACAATTCTTGTTCTGGAGACGTGCTAAGCTGGCTTTGCATGCAGTAGCTCACTTGGTAGCTTTTGAAAATGCCAGTCAGCTGACCGATGGGTGGTTGAGAAATGATGGCCTATTAATTGCAGTACTGCTTGCTACCAAGACCTGGTTCTTAAGATGTTTTTTCATGGTGAAATTAGAGTCTCGTCATGATAGAGACATTAGTGGTAGCTTCCAAAATGGGTGCGCAAATTTGAGGGGTTCACCCAGTCGTTCGCATCCTTGCATACTCAGACACTTACTCACTGGCCTGATTTTGATAAAGTTGTTTTATGGTAATCTCAATCTGGAGCTTTGCTCCATACACAATAGAGCACTATGAATCAGTCTCGTTCCATTATGGATGAATGTCCTTAACTCACTTTTGTCAATTTAGAACTACTTTGAAGTGAGGGTCACACTGGTCTTCAAAAAGTGTAACTAAAAAATTGCCTGACCAAAAGGTTTCATTCATCCGTTGAAAACTCCACCGACGTGGCTAGAATGACGACTAAAAGTTACGTACGTAGAGGTGTAGATTTTTCCCGAATGTATTCGACAACTGCTAGGCAGATTTTTGGCCACAACACTGGTGTTTTTATACTAATATGAATACGCTTATTAGCACAGATGGCTTTAGTGATAAAAGCGATTATCCTGGCGATCGACTGTGAGACACCTGTTCAAATCAGCAAATGAGGAGCCTTGCAACCTGTAAAGTCACTTGTATATAGTTTTGTGCGTATACATGGTTTGTGATGTTTAGCTAAAACTACTTCTAGGAGAAAGCAACCTCCGAGAATTGCGTCTCTCAGGTTTTGAAATGACGAGTGATAAAACTCATTACGCCTTGGTTCGATGAGATACCTTGACATAGATGAATTGGCATATCCCGAGTTAAAAGCCAAGTTACAAACAGGTGCTATAAGTTCTACAAAACGCTGCTCAAGCGAATATATTTTCCGTAGTATTTCAAATGTGCTCCCAATACTACCGATATAAATTTCAGCATAGTAGCAGGGTGTTCACCGAATAGGGTGATGTGAGGAGTTTTTGTAGTGCACCACAATCGGTTCCTCAGAATTTCAGCTTGCTCGTAGATTTGGGCAGAGTACCACTCTTTGACCAGCAGGGAAAACTGACTATGTTATTTGAATACCATAATTGAATTTTATTTATTTATTTATTTGCCGCCGACAGCTCGTCGAGTGTTGTTTAGTGAGTTGAAGCACAAATGTCTCTTGGTCATTTTATCGCTTAATAAAATACATACTAGATCACAGTCGGTTGCAAGAATAAATTTCGTCCAATGGCATTAGCTGAAATTCACAGTATTATGATAGAGTCTTCCCGAAATCGACGAACTAAAAAAGATTGAAATCAAAAATGCTTTCTTCCATCAAAAGCTACTTCGCTAAAAATGACTGCATCAAGTTTCTGAGATTCTCAATTTCCATCTGCAGTTTATCTTGTCCGGATTGTTCCTATGGGAAAGAATAAAGCGTTTGCAGTAGTGGATGAGTTTAGTGAAAAGGTTAATAGCAATCACATTCAGGGGCAACAGGAATTCTAAGCTCTTCAGTAGCAGACCTATTTAGCTTGAAATTCGACAATTAACATCATCGTGTAACTACCAAGCAAATGGTTTCTGTCCGATAAATCTCAGAGAGTTTATTCGTCGCCTTAAACAATCACTGTATGAACTCTTTCCGTACAATGTGGTTCAGAAGATATCTCATTTTTTGAGCTACCACTTGCCGGTTGTGCCATATTTATCGCCAAGATTTACAAATTCCTGTCATGATTGCTGATCGGATTGACTGACCACAATAGCATTTTCATCATATTATATGAATAAAAAACACTAGGAATTCAGCTGTCCCCTTCACAGCCAAAAAAACATTTCCAGAAGGCCGAGAGCATTTGTCACTTGGAACCACTGACATGCCCTAATCCCGTGGTGTCAGCCATCTCCGAAATCAGTGCCAACCATTGGAATTGCTCAGCGATCAGTTCAGCCAATAGAATGTCAGAAAAAGGACCCTCATCCAAAATATTTTCTCAGAATCGGATGGCATGCTAAAATCGGGGCAATGAAGTGTATATAATCGCCATGGCCCCGTTCGAAAAAAACCTGCTAAAGTGGAAGAGTAAAATGCGATGTCCGTTGCAAGACGCAAACAGGCTCGGCTATATCGACATCTTTGAAGCCATTGTCTTGGAGGCTACTCCAAGCAACTTTCAGCATATCTAGCCCTGGGAGATAGTTATATGAAGCTGCAAATACGCTCACTGTCGTCAAATTGACCACGCCCACCAGATTCCAATCACAATCCAACTAGCAACGCACCACAATTTGTTTGTAAAGTATCCCTAATCGTATCCACAATTGATAAATGTCTACATAAAGAATGTTACCTTCAGCTCCAGCGATTTAATTTTCATGGCCAGCGCCAGTTTTACTGCCAACAGACTTTCAGCAACTTCCCGGATTTCTGATGCTTGCTGAAAGATAACAATATCAGAATAATAATTCGGGGAAGATTTCAATGCCATCATATCCAAAATAAGGACAGATAAGTAGAGGACGATCTGCCCTTCGCATGAGAATATCTAAGATTCAGAATTTTTCACAGTTTGATCCTCTAAGCAGCCGAATATAAGGTCAACTTTCATACTGTGCGCTGGAGCTCAGTAGCTTTGAACGTGTCATAAAGACCATTCGACTGTAACACCTTTTTGGTACCTAGCTGCGACGCAACATGGATGGGACATGAGGGCTGGGATAATGCCGGGTTGTTCAGGGCTAAATGGAACCATCGAGATGCTGGAGTTGGGATCGAAACGCAAAACATGTGATCAGTAAGTTTGCGCTTTAACCACCGAGTTATCTCAGGCTCTTGAAGGTGTCAGCTGTGTTACGAAAGTACGAATCCAAGATAAGTTGCACAAGTGAAGCGAATCCATTTGTGGATCGGACAGCCAGGTTTTTTACGTTTGAGTGCACTTCACACCGACCGGCTTCACAGCCTAGCTAGCAAACAATGCGTTAATAGTTGAACGCTGATAGTTTTCAGGCGTGTGATTAAGAACTCTTCGGCAACTTTCAAGACGTGCAAAAAGTTTCATCTTACACAACCGGTGCGTTTGCGATCGATGTATTTGGAAGTATTTGGTCTGGTGCACCAAAGGCTGTGTTGCAACTCAATAAGGGAATCTACTTCACCATTGCACAATGACAGACTGCCCGACATTGTTTCACACACCAGGTACCTCTGGTTAGTGACTTCATAGTTCTTCGTAGTCCATTCAGTCAGACAAGCGGTAGAAACATGTTCCTTCTTACAAGCATAGATACCCTGGAAAGCACTGCATCTGACAAAACACTTGGAAAGGTAAGGCAAGGGAATTTTGTCTGCTTACTAGATCTATAGATTATTAAGGGCTAAGTTTCTATAATAGATTGAAAATAAAAACGTTATGAACACTAAGATCTAGGGGATCGATGTACTTGGAAGTATTTGGTCTGGTGCACCAAAGGCTGTGTTGCAACTCAATAAGGGAATCTACTTCACCATTGCACAATGACAGACTGCCCGACATTGTTTCACACACCAGGTACCTCTGGTTAGTGACTTCATAGTTCTTCGTAGTCCATTCAGTCAGACAAGCGGTAGAAACATGTTCCTTCTTACAAGCATAGATACCCTGGAAAGCACTGCATCTGACAAAACACTTGGAAAGGTAAGGCAAGGGAATTTTGTCTGCTTACTAGATCTATAGATTATTAAGGGCTAAGTTTCTATAATAGATTGAAAATAAAAACGTTATGAACACTAACGATCTAGGGGCGTTCCGTTTCATTTCGTTGGGAGTAATGGAGCAGCTGGTATGCTTTCTGGAACTTTCTGCAGCTGCTCCTTGTTCTTATTCAGTAGTGATCTTTCCACGGAGGAAGTCACAAATACACCATTGTGCATTAGCTGCTAGCTAGATGAAATCGTTAAAAGCAATACCACTTGTGCGCTACGCCCCCAGTCCTGATAATCTTCATTAAACTTCGGTTAGAGTCCGTTAATTTCATTGACTGTAAAAGATTCTAGGAGTTCCGTAACATGGAACCTAACGGTCCCATTCATATCTAACAAACACAACCTTCGATGTGATGACTTCATCCACCAGGAAACTAAGATAAGACAATGGAATTTTTTTCCATTCAGCAGATGTCTGTCTTCTTCAAAATTTTATTCATTCAACATTCACCATGTTATTGTTGCTGTCTGTTTGAATGACAGCTTCATAAAAAAGTCGGATAGTAAGAGCTACGGTGAACCGTCATGTATTTAGTGACTGACAATATATACCATATGCTGTCAGTATTTCGCAGGCATAACGCGGCTATCCATAAAAAAACTCATTCAGCTACAGGCTATCTGGGTTTTAATACTTTGCCTACTCGAAACGTCAAAATTTCTGTACAAATGTGTAGGTGACCTAATGACTGTCTCACAGTCCGTTTGTGACTTCAGCCGGTTCAACTGAGTTCTCAAGTCTAGCTTAGCTTCTATCTGCGTATTTCGTCCTTTAGAATAAAATGTTGAAACTATCGTTCGTGAGAAAGCACTTTACACAATACAAGAGTTTCGTCGTATAATCCTCATATTCAGTGGGTATGAAGGTATAAAATCGTGGGCCATCCTAACTGCTTCTCAAATTTTGGACCATATTAGTACCCTCCAAACAAACGATAATAAACTCCGATAATCCTACCAACCTTGCACTCCAAATGACTAAAAACTATTTAGGTTGTTTAAAAAAAGTTGGACTTTGAATATAATCTTTTGTACTGGCAAAGCTGTGAGGCGGTACTGAGTGCTTGCACTCTTGTTCTTGTTTTTAGGCTGTTTTTCACCATAAACAAAAACTTTCGGTTCACATACTGAAATCAAGGTGAACAAAGATGTTACATCTAAGCAGTTTACAGGTAACTGGAATTCGTTGACTGCTAAGAGTCTTCGGTCTACTCGATATCTGTGCGTGGTTTAGACGGAAACCGATGTAACTCTGAGAGTGAGTCTGCGAATCCGATATAAGGTAGGTGAATAAACTCGCAATGGCCTGTTGAAAACGATCAGGTAGCCTATGTCTAGTGTTACAGAACAGGTATTTCTATCCTTAAAACGTACTCATCCTGGCTCTATCTGTGTTAGGCCGTATCCCATTTCCAGCATTTGCGTTCCATTATCAACTCTTTGCTTACTTGTAGAGAAAAAGGCCTTATTCTGATGACAAGCTCGCTGACCTCTTGCTTGCAGACCACATACACCCGTCTTTGTAACGTTTGTTAGAAAAAACTGCATTGCACCACGGGGACAGTGAGTAGACACTTACCTCCTCTGAACTAGTTTCAACGTTCATTTGTTGGGAAATCCTCATCTGAACGTTCACCATTTCGTTGTGCAGAAGGGCAAACTGTCTTTTCCTAAGAAAAACCATAAGTCTATAGATAAAATATTGAAGAACGATGAATAACACGACTTTTATGTTACCTCTTCTTAACATGTTTACTCAAGAGGTCAGGATTCTTCCGTGTATAGCAAGCAGTTTTTCATGGGTTCTAACTAGTTTGATTGAGATCTGTGAAATTACATCATCTAAATGTATCTACAGGGGCATGAAATATTTACGGCAAACATCCATCCATCGGTTAACGTAGTAGAATATAATGAGTGAGATTCGTTGATACATTTTAACCCATGAGTTATTTCCTCAGCTTTAACTCCGTTCTAATTGGTCAGTGGAAATCGCTTTCAAAAGTATGCAATATCTAACTTAGTCATCTGATGTACATGCTGATATGCTTGAGCAGGTTTGAGCAGCTTTACGGCAGTGATAAGGCTAATTTTTCCATTATTGCCAAAATATAAATGTTTTGCTTTCCCGGATTTGCTTCTGCACTCCATAATTCTTTCACTTTTTTTGTTTGTCTGGTTTTTTCCATAACGGCAAATTGAACAGCCTTAGAAGTATTTCTTACACTTGGTTTCCTATTCTGCTTTGCGGAGCAGAGCGTACGACACAAGTCGTTTCATCTTGAAGCGCCAGAAATTTCTTTTCATTAGGCTTGGTATTATAACTGATCCTATTTGCTATGCATGGTCAAGTGGCTAGCATTATAGGTTGTGTGCAGAAGGTAGGTTCGTGGCATCTGAGGCTTGCACCAAAATGATCGTCAACTGCATAAGGTATATTCCAAAATATGGCACCTTCGGGGGCAAAACATTGGCCGCTACCCTTCTAATCCTACAAATTCTCACTACATTCGTGTTAGCACATTCAGAACTTATCCGATGGGGGCTACCAAGACTTGGTTCACGGTAATGGCCAGGACAGGATAGTATAATTCGGCAATCAAGGCAAAAAAATGTGTCGAGGAGTTTTCAGTAACCTTATGAGTAGTGCACTAGGAATATACATGTATCGCGAAGTCTGGATTATCGTAGAGACTGAAACATGAGGTGGCACATTCAGTTGCCTGAAAACATCACAAACCAGAGATTCAGCCGGGTTTCAGGTGCATCTCTCGTAAAACCAAATTTGTTTGCAAATAAGTGTATTTCACTGACGTGTCAATTACTTCCAAATGCGATTAATTTTGGGAGAATACGAGGAGGATACACATTTTTATAGGAAGAAATATTTGGTGTGCATCCCATCTTGATTACTGTCACCGATCGTAATGTCAAGTTGTCTTAAGAGCCAACTTTGTGATCAGTTCTCATGGGATGATCGTTGATAATCAGTATTTAGACCAGAACAACCTGATCTCTTATGTACACGCATGCACCAGAATCATGCGAAAATCAGAAAGCCTATGCCCACTTTGTTCCATAAATGGAGGCTGAAAGCACCTCACTAACAGATGTGTTTCGGTTTAAACGACAGCTTTGGTTGTAGCTCCTTACCTGTAAGCGCACGGACAGGGTAAGGTAGCTGGAATCTATCTCCGCAAAACTAGAGTCACACCACATGTAATGTCCGTTCCACCGTCTTCCTTCATCTATAAACCAACGAATGAACGTTTCACTATCCTGGAAACTTATTGAAATCCACTGCGAAAATGCACAGTCAGGATGCAGGCAACATTCCTACGATTCGCTCACTTATTTCAGGGAGAACGTTTGGAATTTGCACGTATCCTCTTGCTAAAAAAACAAACCTAAATCCAGACTCCGAAAAAACTCAGTGAATCATGCGTTTATGTCGTAGCAAAACTTGGGTTTCAAGTGAGCTACAGCGGGATCACGTTCCAAATGAGCTAGGTTTTCCATGAGGCGTTTAGTTGAGTGTTAATAATAATACGGTCAATCGTAAGTGAAGATCCTCGCAAAAAGACACCATTCACCGTTAACAGGAAGATATTCCCCACTGTAAAGTGGTCGAGTATTCAAACCCATGTTGAATTCCCTAATGATGCTTTACTATTTACCAGCAGGAAGATTAGGTATTGTCTTCTAAATGCTAAAACGTAGGGTGTTCACATAACGAAACCGGATACCAATCCCGTTACAAGGCCCACGAAGGAATCATAGTAGTACACCTTGAATACTGAACTGACAGAATTTAGAGGCAGACTTTGCCCCACATTCATTTTTGCCTATTCACTTTGAACGCACAGGCAACATTTGCCGGGTAAGAGAAGCATTCATTACGAAATGTAGTGGAGATGATACTTGCTTGATGTACCTTGCACAGAGTTTTCCTGAGGTAAAAACCGTCCAATAACATACACTTTACAGGCCGCAGTCGACCAAATAAATTCTTCCTCATGAGTAGATAGCTTATTGGCTTCCAAAACGAGGCCACTAATGTAAGGGTCTTTTTGTCTGTATGACATAAACTGAATCTAAAACAGGTGGCAAAGCATTCTTGTTGAGCATGTCTGATCAGTTCTTTTCTTCATGTGAATACGTGCGGGTTGGGTAAATGTACAAAAACCAGGGGCCCGTTTCCACCAAATTCTGAAGCTTTCTTGCAGGTTAGCAAGGCTAGCTGTAGGTGGTGGATGTTATACTCGCACTTGCTTGAGTAAGCAGTGCTATCAAGATACTTTTCGTATTGAATCGCAGATGATGTATATGTAGTACTTCTCGTTAATTTCCTTGTAAGTTATTCGCCTAGTTAAGAGCATCTTATGGTAAGCGATTCGGTTCATCCAAAACCATTTTTTCGAAAGATGATACGTGAAGAAAGGTTATCTGTTGCTGGGCTCCTCATTGGAAAGGAGCTTCTGTACCTCAATCGGACCATATTTGAACCGTGGTCAATCCTTAGATCTAGCTGAATTATAAGACAGCAGAATAGAGGTAGAAAACTTATTGATCAACTGATACAAATAGGTCCATCCTAGCAGTGGCCACGAGTGTTGGATACGGGGTATTTCATGTGTATGGCATCTTCGTATTTGGGTCAATAAAGATGTGGACATCGCGTGTAGATTCCCCCCCCCCCCTTATGACTTTATTCGGCACTGCGGATCCAAACACAGAAGGTTGGATAGGACCAATACGTTCCTAGCCCATCAGTTCGGTTTAGAATCAAATCGAGTCCGAGAGGGTAAGCAACAGAACCTGACTTGACCTCTCACCAGTAGTAAGCATTCAACAAATCCCAAGAACAAATTGACAAAACCTTCCAGATTACAGGCTGGAAAAAAACAAGTTTCCATAGACGTATGCGTAACATGATAATGCTCCAGTTTGATAAGTAAGACGACTTGGAAGAAACTGCTGGTAGCACACTTTTTTAAATTCTGGCTTAAGGCTGGTTCCTGATGGCACGCTTGGAACAAATCGCAAATCTCACAGACTAGTCCAACCAGTATTTAATAATACACATGGTGATTGTAACAAATGCTCCGATAAGCAACTGCTTATCAGCCCATTGGTATTAGTTCTATTTTGTACTACTCAGAAGAATGAAATATTCGATGGAAATAGCCAGCATGGAGAGCCATAGTGAGATTGGTGTTGGGTGGCTGCGAGATTTCGTAGAATGCACGCTCACATCACTCTTGTTTGGACAGCCCTCCTCCTGATCTGGCCCAGTTATTCAGGTGAGTTCACAGTAAAATGAAGCACGCATTCGACATTAGTTTCAATTCTATTAGAGCTCATCAGTAGTGTCTATCCTTGGTCGCGCCGGGGGTTGAACTCCGCACATACGAAATGTAAGGTGAGCATGTTGCCACTAGCCCACCAGCGTTTCAGTGATGTGATTGGTAAGCTCGATGCCTCGAATGACGACCCAGTAACATACCTTGGTTGTTTGAGTCCTTATCAAAAAGGTTACCTGGCTATAAATTGATTTTTCCTAAAAGAACGAGCGATGACAGAACTTACAATTCGTCAAATTTCATCTCCAACGTTTTGTGCAAGTCCCCTCGCGATTTGTTCAAGCGATCTGCTTCCGCACGTACCTCGCATAAGAAAATAAACAAAGAATAAGCAATCTGAGATGCAAAGGTTGAGTTCACGGACATTTCGGGGTTGGCGGACAACCAAATATATTTAGGGGTGTTATCTGTTAGAACAGATAACTGAACTTTGTGATTGTCCCTGTTTACCCGTGTCATATGACTGGCTGCATTTCTAGCAAGTTACCTTTCGACGCCGTCTCTTGAACACGACGATGAAGGTTTGTAATACTGCATATAGTTACTGAGTGTCCACAAAGTTAAATGGTAACCAAAGAATAACATGAGTCCACTAAACTTAACTCTTCCTCACAAAAAGGAAACATTTCCCTTCAGCAACAAGGTAATCAGCTTCCCCAAGGCGCGAAAACAAATGGACAACAAATGTCAGCATTGTTTATTTAAGCAACTAGCGATGGGATCGCGCATTTATAACCTGTGTTTATTCTCATCAAAGTAGAATAGTTGCATCGATGAATTACGTGTCTCTTGTACACCGACGAATAAGTTTCCTGCAAACTAAGTATCATAATGCGTTATCCTGGCGTTGGTATGTGTAACGAAGACACTCCATTTGCTTAAATCATGAGATGGTGAAAAATCAAACTTTTAATTAAAATTATTACCTTACGGGGAGAGCCAATGAAAGGACAGGCTCAGAAAAGAAGAAAAGGGAAGCGTTTTTTGTCCACAGTTATTCCGTTTCCTGATTGAATTGAATACTATTTCTGCTAAGACCATGTAAGTCGGGTTCAATGTGACAGTCATCTACACGTTGGATTGGCCACTTAGCATCAGCCTTCTAGGGGATCCAAGTCGTTTAAGATACATACATAAGCCCTGTCCAGGTTGAGCGAACCAGAAAGTCAAAGAACTGGCAATCAACCTAAACAAGCAATATGAAGTAGTGTTTTAGCCCACACAAGTTTTTTAACGCACCTCTTTATGCAGGTTGTTGTATTGTCGTTTGTGTACTTCGTTTAACTCCTCTAGGCGGCGATAAATATCTTTTATCGCTATTGCTCTGGCATCAGTCTTCTCGGAGGAATCACCGCGTTTGATGCCTGAACGCTAAATTCAACAGGATGGCAAAAGCATGGTAGACTCCATCGTTATGCAACACACCATTTGCAACAACAAAAAATCCAAACCTAATTGGAGTGGTATTGCGATCCGCGAAAAAATCAACTGAATAACTCGCCAGAATCGCACACTGATGAAATTTGCCATCCACGGAAACAACCGTGCCCAGAGATGGAAAAGTGTTACAAGTAGTTGAATCCAGAGTAGATTCGGAGCTTAAAACTGTTGCGTGGCTGTCGCGTTATTATTATTACAATAGCGAGTGTAGGCATTCACATCTACTGCATTACTGATCTCTTCGTGATTAGCTAATTGATTATTGCGACTTATCGTTCTATCGTTCATTTTGAGATCGGAACAACAAAAATTAGAGATATTTTTGTACATCCTGTATATAAGTAAGAATCAGCCTCTCCATCTTGCCATTTCTGTGGTTCAACAAACTTTCTTCCCAGTGAAAGCTACTCCTTAGAATCAGTGGAAATTGTTTACAGAAATGGTTGACGGCAAAGTCAAGAACACTATCGACCTCGAGTCATCCCCTCGGATAACACTTAGCAAGATAGAGCCGCTTCGTCTGACTGTCTTGCCTACCAAATCCTCTAACCAAAATTAACCAAGACCATATTCCAGAAACTTTAGCATTTTGTAGTTATTGATCATCCGCGTGTCCTTGGAATAATCAACATCAGAAGTATCTCTCTGAGCTTCGACATACACATTCAGCGACCCCAATGAGGCCAGACCGATCCTAGGACACTTCTTCATAGCCGAGTTGCACAAGATCCTGAAAACCGTTGCCGGTCAGTCCCAATCTGGACGCGACTAATGAAACTGATATGTTAATATGGAACCAATACGACGACAGTGATACACTCAGTTAACTAACTAGTCTGTCGCTAGTATTGTGCTACAAGTCTCTTTACAGAAAATCTGGTTCGCATCACATATGTCGTGTTCGAACTCGTTCTCAACCTTATATATACAGGCTACTTCTTGAATGTGTCGATGCATTTTCTCGTTCTCAGACCGCCAATGCTGAAATGACAGTTACTGATAGACACATACCAGTGACGAGCTGCGCGGGCTTTGCTGGTAGAAATTAGGACACGTGTACACATTCCTCTCAAAAGTGCTGGTGAAGGGACCACCTGAATTCGCTGCTTATGGATGATTGAGAAACAGGGATAATCGCTGCCTCTTCGCAGCCCCTGGCACTTCTGATCCCATAGTCCTCTACTGCAGTGTGATACATTTTAAACTTCTATTGTGGCGGCCTCATTTTTAGGAAAGTAAACAATCCTGCAGAAAACTCTACTTTTTGAAGTTCCGTTTAGTTGTTTCGAACGTATCTGGTACAACTGGGAACTGTTATGTGGGCGGTGTTGCAGCTTCAGACGTGGACGCAGTGTGGTTGTTTATGGTGGACACAAGTTAAATAAGTTGTCTATTGTGGAGCATGCGATTATTTAGTGTCAAGAAGTGAATAAAATAGAGTAAATGATATAAAATGGATATCATTTCCCGACAAGTGTGAACCAACTAAGAAAAGGACAGCTTGGAAAACAGCCAGAGGAGTTATTGCTGGACAACAAGGTCTCGATAGAGCGTCTCGTATATGAAATTCTTTAAACCCCTGAGAAAAAAACTTTTCAAAGGAAGTAGCACCAAGTGCCGGCAGCACCAACCATCGCTGCAAAAACCCTCGATACGCTTTTTTGTTCCGTCTGGGCTAAACTGGTGTCTCATTTCAAACCTATCAACAAATTGGTGTACATTCATTATTTTATCCAAGTGAAGAAAGTTCTTTACTATGGGGTCATGTCCCACAAGAGACTATGCCTACAAATGGGTGCCAGTTTTGCCCAAGTAGTCTTTTGTCCTGAGTAGAAACTATAAAAACCCTATTTTTCTATCAGGAGGGTTAGAATCCTGAAAGCGACGAATGAATGCCCGGAATCTCCTGAGACTCTCCGCTCCGCTAGATGCTGACCGGACAGACACGTCCCCTCAATATGCAGCGCTTCACAGCCTTGTATCGAACCCACGCAGCGATGGTCAGCGCTGATCAAGGTCAGACAACGCCCCCGCAATATGTAGCGCGTCGCAGCCAGACCATGTGCGTCAGTGTTGGACCAAGTTCAGATAGCTTGAGACCGCTGTACTTTTGCGCTCGCGCGCACTATCACTCTCGCAATCGCTTGTTCGTAATGTAACTGTTGTGTTCCCTTCTGTCTTTTTTTCAGGTATTAGGCACTGGAGTGGATTAGTGCTCTCTAGGTAATGAATGTGACCCGGAACCTTTTGTGGATTCGCGTTTGCAGTCTAGGCGAATCAGCGAAATCCCTTATGTCTTTTGGGCTAAATGATTCGATGTCAACCAGAGTACTTTTTTATCCGCTTGGCATGTCTTACCATTGTGAGCTGGTCAAATCTACTGATCCACAATGAACTTCTACGGAAACACGATTGCAAGATTTTCTGAAACCATGTTGTCGTCGTTTCAGTCATTCGTGTATGCTTAACAAAGAATGCCACTTTCAACAGTTGGAACAGTCGTTGAAGCACTCCTGACTCATGTTCCTCGCATCCCAACTAAACATATTCGTCCCTCACTCAAGATCACACATGAGCGAGCACTAACAATTCAGCCGGTAAAGAATCCACGCGGCCCCACTGAACTTACAACGGTCATATAAATGTGCCACCAATGTGGTCTTCTCCACAAGTAGCGCAGAAAATCCTGGGAAATCCTGGTCCCTAATCTCCGTGAGTTTCAAACCTTGGGGTGGTACGTTGATACAGACCCTGTAGTTCACCAATCCCAATCTTGCCAGTTGGTGAAGTAGTGATGAATGTGGGGAAACAATCGGTGCTCTGTGAACAGGAATTTGTAAGTCGTAATATGTTATATGGACACATGTCGATCTCCCCTCTGACCCTGCAAACCTTTTTCTATTTTATCATCTTGCTTTTGGTCCGAGTATCGTACCAAGTGATAAAGGAATTGTCAGCATTTCTCTAAATGAGGGTTCCTGTTTTCCGATAAAATGAATAATCTTTCCGGAGACGTTGAGTCAGTTGCCTTTTGGTAGCAATACACCAAGAAAGTGACGCATCTGTGTTGGAAAGTAAATATAAATCTAAACAAGTTACCCAGAAACGTATAATCAGGCATAGGATTTACCACCCACGTACCGTTGGGCGTGTGGCGCACAATGAAATTTGTAATTCGTTAAGTGAATTCCGCAAGGAACCAGACACACTATCCAGTCTTTCCTCGATGCGTTTGATATGATTATGCATATTAGCCTCGTGTGTCCGTCTACAATGACAAGAAATGGTAGATAGTCTTTGATTTCAAGAAAGAACGATTGAGAACACATTGGTATAGATATTCACCTGTCTCTCTAGTCATCATTTGGCGCAGACTTAAAACAGAGAACCACATATCAAACGATGAGAAAATAAGTTGTCGCTGATTAAAGAGCTAGCAACCTTATGAGTAGTGTATTAATTCTATACAATGTATCGCGATGCCTCGATTATCGTGCCAAAGAAAACATGAGGCGGCTTCGTGCAGCACATTCAGTTGTTTAAATTATCATAAGCGGGAGATTCAGTTGGGCATCAGGTGAGTCTTCTGTCAAAATCAAACTGGTATGCAAATGAGTGTATTTCGCCAGTTCCATTGATGTTTCAGTCCATAGGAATAAACATTACTAGCATGTTCATGGGCTAGCGTGATCTCTCGTGAAAAGTCTACCAAGACACAAAAGGAGCTACAAACCAGTGCTTCTAAGGATGATGCAACTGATGCGAGACACTACATGACCTCCTTTGCGCTCAAATTCAAACACTGAAAAACGCAAATTAGGTTTCTCCCTAAGTGGCCTGTTATTGGTGTGCCGGCAAAAGAGCGCCTTAGAATACATGCATTGTGTAGCGAATGACGTCCATTTTATCCTTCTTTCCCAGAAGTGGCTCTTTTAGGTTTGGAACAGTGAATTATTGTCGTTCAGCAATGTTGCAATCGGGAATGATGCTTTCAATTACAGCTCGCGTGCAAGAGAAGTCTACGTGAAGTTGCTGGACTAAAGTACATGGAATAATGGCTGCAAAACCCGCCGGTTGAAAGTTACTCCTTGTGAATAACTCCTTGAAAACTTAATGGCTGATACAACGTTGAAATATCTAAAATTGCGAATTTCGTTCTCCAAAAGGGCTGTTTCCTTTTTTTCAAGGTGAGAGAAACTCCAAGCGTCCAACAGAAAACCGACAAAAGTACCCTCGGAGGAGTGAGTGAGTTTACAGAAGAAACATCGGAGGACCACGGTACTGACACATAATAATGACGCAAGATTTTCTACAAACGAAACCTGTTCTGAGTTTTCGGAAGTTCTGAATGTATCAGCCTCCTAACGATTCCAAAACGACCACCGGAACCATATCAAATAGAACGTCCCAAATTTGTTTCGATTGTGTACCAACTGATTCCTTACCTGCGCGGTAAGAATTTTTAATACTGCCGGAACATTTCCATGGGAACGTACCTTGTCTTGATTTCGGCGCTAAGAACTCCCTCCAATTCCAGCTTATCATCATTGGTGCGCTTACCAACCGATGAAATTTTATCTTCAATTTCCCTGCATTGACTTGATAAACGCTGGGTATCATCCTAAGTGTGGGAAAACATCAAAGTGACGCTTCACAAAGTTACACTCAGTCCAAGTGAATAATAAAAAAGAACACCTGCACTAAAATCGGGGTAATGCATCCATCATTGGTCAGGCACAAGAAAGATTCACAGTATAGTTTACCGTTTGCTGAAGGCAGGTGTTTTCGCGAGTTTTACTTTGGGCCCATAGTGAGGCATTGTATAGCATCTAAAGAAGTGAAAATGGAATTTTTCCACTAAATAAACGACAGAACATAGCATAGCTCCTTTCTTGCATAATTCGATTTCACGGCACATAACGTTCTGCTCCTGAGAATGTCGAACATGTTGAACTCTACATCTTATACAGATCAGACAATCATCCCTCTTTAGCTGAACAATGCGAAATTACTCTGCGGGGTTTCCCCATAACCATCAAGTTCCTGAACCGTTGAAGGGGATACGGGATTGAAATGAGACCTAGTTATTAATGATGTCTTAGCTTGAAATGCACTCATTTGCGAAAATCGCAAACAAGAGAATCAGATGAGTCTCTCATTAGCATTTGCAAACGAGTGTACCTCGTTATTCACGTACAATTAGATGTTCAAGTAAAAAAACAGATTTGATGGAAACTCGGAGACTGACTGACTGCGCAGCCTCTGGAAGAACTGTACAGCCAGTGGGCTTACGAAGAGTTTTCTGCAACCTTATGAGTAGTGTTTGCGGTGCTTTGTTTTTTTTTCATTTGAAATCTAACTCATCGGATATGCGTTTGCGACAACTTTTTCGTCACCACAAATCCCGAGAAGTTTTGTCGTGAAGCCAAATGCACCGTATCTTGCCATAATTGGTTCATCGTAAAGGAAATGAGCCCAGAGTTTGTTAGAGTCAGAGCACATTTCCACATAGCCGTCTGTCGTGTCATGGTGGTATGGTGGCTTGCTTTAGAAGGTACAATTATCTATCGTTCCGTTCCTCCTGTCGACACTCAGGAAGGTTATAAAAGTCTTGACCTGTATCCACTGATCTTGCCAGGAAAACCTCGGGAAATCCTGGTTTGCGTGATGTCCGAGATAGTAAATAAGCGGCTGAACGAATGTTTGCACAAACGATCATACTGTTACCCTCTAATGGGCGCGCAATTTCATAAAATTCGAATAGGGGTACACATAATTTTCACCCGGATAGGGCTCGTCTACTGACGACAGAATCACACCTGGATGTGAAGAGCATCATAAGGCAAGGGCAAGTCTGCATAACCAAGAAGTTGATTTTCATTGACTGACCATTCCACTGACCTCTTCAGAGTTAGATGTACTTTATTTGCCGGTATTTCACAACTGTGCTTGATCAACAGAAACAATAGACCATTTACCTCAGATCATGTTAACAACGACAACAACACAAATATGAACTTCGACGTTGTTTGCAATAACATATTCCAAATTGAAAACACCACCCGCTGAACTCTCATGATGGAAATAAATACGGTCTTGGCGGTTACCATGGCATCGACTGTTCAATTTCAACTCGGCTCCGTTGGCATAAGATGCCCTGAACATTAATTGGTTTTGAGCCTGGTTTGGTTGGCACCGTTGAACAGCGAAATTTTTGACAGAAGGAAACAACTGTGTTGATAACAAAAGACCGAACAAAAGCGCTCATGGGCTCCTGTATTCCATTCAACGCCGAGGAAAATGTTTACCGGTGGTCTTTGTTATGAGACAATGACCACAGTTTCTTCACCTGTCCGTAGGCTGCATAATTCAGTAGGGTTTCCACTGGAAGATGGTACTGAATTTTATATAATAAGATAATTAGAGCTAGATAAACTAGTATACTGAATATATGTTTCAGAAGCACCGTACGGTAGTTGGTCAATCACACGTTGACGACTTCACTCCAACCGCTGCATTAGCAATCCGACTGACAAAGCCAACGAGCAGAACAGCAACCAGTCTGGTGTGCTTCACCAAATCAGTAAAACGAGATGCTTTAATCACTTGTATTTTACGCTTTGGTAACAGTTGGTGAATAGCATAGAGACTCTGAGGTCCTGCTCCTATATTTCCTTAAAGTGATAAAAAGTAGTTTTATCCTTTTCCGGAAACAAGTGCAGTACCTTGTAGCAAATTTCGGGGTAGACTTGAACTCCAAGTCTTCAAAATTGGAGTTTGGACACCGTTACTAAGCTACAAGTGGTGGAGAAATAACACTGTTCATTTGGACCTAAAGAACAACTCCAAAGTTTCCTTTGTCTGAACTGACGAATTCGGAAACAGGTAGACGACGTCGGTGAATCTGTGATGTTTGTCAGTAAAACCTTGTTTTGTGAATTTTAAGGCGCGGTATGCTCAGGCCACTCGTGAACACATACGCGAAATAAAAGACTACGCGTTATTGTGTGCGAACAGAATGATTTCCAGTGAATTACCAAATGAAGTAGTATGGCCGTTTTTTGCAAAAATAATACGAGAGTGAACTTACGTGCCACTGACGCTTCAGCAGACTAAGCTCCGCGCTGATTTTGTATTTGATCGAGTGCAGCTTTTGAAGTATTAGGGCGTGGTTTGTTACTAAATCGTCATCAGCCGACTATATTGAACAGGGCGGAACATAAAAGTTCAGTATTAATTCCTTTGGTATTGTGAAGCAGTTTGAAGTATTCTATAGAGGACAATGTCAGTAGCTCAGGTAGCGTAGATGGGTGAAGCAGTTTGAAGTATTCTATAGAGGACAATATCAGTAGCTCAGGTAGCCTAGATGGTCGTTGGCTTGTTCGCTGAGCTGGGCAATTTGGTTGCAACCAAATTGCTTAGCTCAGCGAACAAGCCAACGACCAGTTTGAAGTGTCTTTGGGTAAAACTGCTTTCACACTACAATTGTGCGACCTCAAAATGACAGAAGTTTAAGATTGCAACTGTTTGATTCCTACTTCAGCATTATAGCTCTTTGCAAGTTCACTTTTGCAATGACTTCATCAACTAGAGGAACTTCTTTGAATTTGCACATGGCGAGACTACCTAACAACCAAGGTGATGCGTTCGCGAAGCAGTGCGTATACAATACCTGATGCTTGCTAGACCCTCGATAGTTCACGATTCAATTTTACTCGGTTCTGCTCAAGACTTGCTTTGATAGCCCACAAATTTTTTGAAGCACAACGATGAAGCGGTTATTAAAGCATGTAGCAAAACTATTTTCAGTACACTAGGCGGAGACTGGATCACTTGAGAATAAAAATACTCTGCTTGGTTGAGCTAGCGTGAAATGTGTTGGTGAAATGTGATAATCCTGGTACACGAGATGTAAAACAAAAAAGCGGCTTCTTGAAAGGGATTTACTGTGTGGGTGATTCAACTTAAAAACATAGTCAACTACGATAGTGTACGGGAATAGTGAAGCACTAATGGGAAGACCAGAATAGTGGTCAGTATCCAAATACCAAAAACGAAGAGGCCTATAGTAACAAAGATCACGGAGTGAAACTAGGATACATCAAGATCAGTCCTTCTGAAACACCGACTGAAAGACAAGAGTCAAGGAGGATAAGCTGAAATATTACAAGAGTATTAAATAAGCAGGACATGGATAACCAGTTAACCAACTGCATTTCCGACCCAAACAATCCCCTACAAAAGCCGTCCTGATAATCTCCCCTGAACTAGTAGTGGCAAGCCGATAGCTAAAATGCTCAAACTACCAGTGTAACGGTGATACTGCTGATGGAGAGGCATGCGAGTTGTATGTTTTCTCGTAAACCCACTTTGCGTTTTTTGAAAAGTGAGATCTGTTGCATTTGCTTGGATTTTAGCAACAATCTGTGAATATCCAGAAAAGTTCAGGAAGACGCGTTCAAAGAGAGGATGGATATTCAGTTTCTGAAAACAAGATGCATATGAGAGTTTTGCTTCCTGTCCAATAGCCTGTAACTGTTCAGTTGGCATTTTCTGATAAATAACTCCGCAGCGAAGGCCTTCTTCTTCTCACCAGTTCCATTTTTATAGGACTGTTTGTTGAACAGCTGACGAAATGCACTCAATTGCATATTAATTTGGTTTTGACGAGAGACTGAATCTAGGCGAATCTCTCGAGTATGAAGTTCCTCTTCAACTGAATGTGCCACACAAGTCTACCTCACGTTTTGGTTGACATGATATTCGAGAACAGTTTATTTTACCTACACCTGAGTTAACAAGTCGGTACAACCTCAGTTTCACGGTACATCCCAAGAACCACCAAGGTAAGATATAGTTAACTGCGGACTTCTTTGAACTTATAGCTGTTCTTGCCTTTTGATCTAGCAGACAAATGGTCTACCCGGTTTACTTTAAAACAACATATAGGTGGTTGTCGAGACAATCTACGGCTCCTCTGTTTTTAATGTGTGCACAACCTCGGTGTACCGCTATATTGTTGATTCCGATGCGTTCCAACGGAAACCAACGACACATAAAAAGAGGACGATGGGGGTCAATCTAAACTGATGTAAGCCAGTCCTACGACGAAGGCCAAACTAAGTGAAGGCAACATATGTCCTTTGGATTCTTCACCTCTGGGGAAAAGATTTTCCTAAGAACTAAACACACAACTTTCTTGGCACTAGCTCACCCACGCAGACTGACAGAATGTTCAAACGAAGTTCAAGAGGAACCATCAAATGAACCGAATCAGAAGAACTAGACCCTAGGCTGGACCCAAACACAAGTAGGTTTCTCCACCGACCCAACACTTGTTCAACCACTCTAACACACTCAAATCCCTCGGCCGACACCCAACAGAGATTTAGCTTGACTTAGTTAATTGGTTCTCCTTCAACCTTAAATCTCGACCAACCTCGGAACCTAGTCACTTGGCCTGACGAAGCTTTTGTGTCAAAAACGAAACGTTGCCCAGCAATAAATCTACCGGTTGTCACCAAACTTTTTCCAAAAACGATAAACACACCCTTCTTTATTTTGTGTGGTCATGTCTCTATAGTGATTTGGCTGCTTAGATTAAAACGGATTTAAATATGATGTTTTCTATTCACTTATTAAGTGATTACATGTGTGCTTATAAAATGGTTCACAAAAGTAATTCTTCGACAGCCGTTGTGTTTAAAACTGCAAAACTTAGATGTTGTAAACCACTCTTCTGGGCCACTCTGGATAGTCCTACGAGAACTCGGTCGTAAAAGTAGAAACTTCCAAACATTTATCAGCAAACTTATATTTACTCCTTGAACCGTTCCTATCTTCTATTCTCGCACAAACCTTTAGCTATACGCTGACCATGGGGTACGGCTGATGGTTTTCAACCAATTTAGTGTGATTATGACCGATCCGCTTTCTTCCCTTTCCTCAGTTGACTGAACCCTGTCCTTCAGGACAGCACGAGGGTGGTTGTTCGTACCATTTTTCAGATGAGTTCATCTCTAACTCATAAGTAACCCAGGCTCTGTAACAAAGATTAATCACGTTCCTTAGTATGAACTGATAAGAAAGCGAGGGCAGTGGAAAAGACCTGACAAAGTTATACGTTTACTTCTTTTATCCGTCCCTGAACCATATCTCCCAAGACATCCTCCCACTTAGCCCGAACAATTTTACTGCCATATAATACAAAGCAGCTCGGGCACCATATCACTGCATCTAACAGGCGACAGCTGGCTCGGTTGTAGTGGCAACTGAGATTCACAGTGAATAGTCTTGACAGGTTCAAGATTTTTCGATACAGCGCTGTTTTCGGGTAGAATCGCACTGAGGCTAAGCACTATAGCGGAGGCAGTTTCGATGCCACTTCTGGGTTTGCCAAATCATAACTTCGCTTACCAGCTGAGGTATTTGTAATCCGACCATTTGATACCCCCGGTATGTGCCATCACTTCCCATGGACTCATCAGTCTTTAGCGTGTGTTACCGGAGTTCCTGTCTTTGTGTGAAGTAATAATTAGACACACGGAATTTGCATTGTTATATTCCAAAGACAAGATGTGACAAAGATACTTGAATGCTTGTTGAGACTTTGTTGCCATTGAGTATTTGTGAGCTGCCTCATCCATACAAGTAGTTTCAGTGAATGAAAACACGGTAAGATGTGCTAAGTAAGAAGGCATAAAGTGTTCCCAATCACACTTTCCTGCAGGATAGTGGATAGTTGGTGATTACAGCCAGTTTTAGACTGGTGACTGAAGTTTTACCATTCGACTGTCTGCACCACACATTTTCCCTGATGTAAGCTAGTTTTTCCTTCTAAACATTGCCCTATCCATGAATGTGTACTGCCTACAGACAACCTTTGTAGACTGTTGAAATTTAGGTTTATCATCATCAGATGCAATCCTCTTCAGGTAATGTGTCCCTTAAGTTCCTCAAAGATGGACATATCAAAACGTGTTTGGCACTTCCTAATAGAATCCACCCCCTAAAATGCAGAATTATGGGACTACGTCGCCGTGAACTCTTTAAGGAGCAGTAGAATCTCCACTTTAAAAAACTTCATAGTCTTCATAGTTTCACTGTGGAGCGGTTTGACTCAAAATCTCCATTCGTTGCATTCATTCAGATGCAAATTCGATGAACTTTTCGTGTGCACATTCTTAGGCATTTGTACTCTTTTTTGCCAGGTCGTTGACACTCATGTAAAAAATCTATCAGTAACGATAGGTAGAGAAAACCTCATTTTGTTTTCTCGTTTGCTTTTTCAAGCTTTCTTTCAGTTTAGCCTCTGCATTTTTAATGGATACATCCTGTGTAACCTACAAACGCGTTGCATTTTTCAGTAAATTTGATGGTGCAATTGTGTGTGAAGACGTGACACAACCTCGTTCATTTAAAGCAGTCATAGATTACACAGGCGCGTGTCCAACCGTTGCGTCGAAGAAAACAAAATGTTTCCGTTTCATTGAGTAACAAAATTGGCAGCGATACATCGTTCTGAACGTTCCTCCAACCGTCAGATACTGCGCTGGGACGTTCATCCCAGTTTTAATGCTGTGAGCCCATTCTAACGAATGTTACATATCGGGACAGTGTAGGTTTTACTAATTTCCAGGTAGAACGATAGAGGAAACTGTATCCAAGCTACGCCGCTACACGCTTGACTACTTATCCGTGACCAAGGACGTGAATTGTTTAAGAAAGGCATCCTGCCTCTTCTGGTCTAGCGTGAATGCAAAGCAGTAATTTGGTTCTCACATGGTCGAGCAACAGGTTGGCGACAGAGTTCAATAGGAACTACACAACATCCTACAATCAAGACACATAAGTCAAGATTTAAGTTTTAGTTTGATTGAAAGTTTTTACTAGGCAAAAAACTGCCTGCTCAACAAAGTTATTGGCTATGAAATGTCACACCAAAGCACCAATGAACAGCTAGTGTACAAATTGACTGTATTATCTCCTCTCATTAAACACTTATACCGAAGTGAATTGTTCGCTATGGCTGAGTTAAAGCGTTCACGTTATTAAAAGCTTCACAGTTAACAATATCCTTTCGATACCCATAATTATTCTGATTATTCCAGAAAGCTAGCAAAATAAAGCAATTTGGTTGACGGAACACGCTACCCAAAAGGTTACTGAAAACTCTCTGACAATCCGTGACCGGTTTCACCCTTTTAGGTGCCCATCAGGTAGGTGTAGTCCCCTGAAGACAAGTTGGATAAAAGTGTTAAAAATCACTGACCCTTATCTTATGAGTAGTATGCATCGTCAAAAAAATACGCTACGATGTCTAGAATATCGTACCAACTAAAACATGAGGCATTCTTTGTGAATCACATTCAGGTGGAGAAGAATATAACAAAATTAAAAATCCAAATGGATTTATTTGGATCTGTTGTTAAAAACAACTTAGTCTGCGCATGAATGCATTTCGCAAAAACCACATACACACTTCGTTTGGAAGCTCATTTCCATCCACCTACACTGAGGATGGAGCACATATGGTGTGCTCGTATCCAGTTCTTTTTTATTCTTCTAGTATTCCCGTGTTCGCCACCAGGTAATCCCAATCTTTTGTGGTTTTTGGCATTGCAAACAACTCATCTCTACTGGTATATCTCTGAAGTAGTTTACGCTGTTAGAATTGTTGTGGCTAGTCTCAGTTTACATGGTGTTAATCTGACAGCTGCTGTGGTTACCTCTACTAGAGCTCATGTTGGTCCTGGAACTGCTGATGCTACCGATGTTGATGGTAATGCCTGCATACCTGCTCTATCCCGAAACCTGACTGATCTTTATTTCAGCGCAGTTCACTCACTCTGGAAAACCCACGATATCCTTACCGTCTGTAAGCATATCTTATAAACCCCCTGCTGATAAGGCTTCTATGCTACTTTCAATACTGGACGTCCAGAATTTGAACAGAGGCACACAAAATACTCGGACAGATAAGTACCTATGCCCTATCCTATTAGCGTTGTTTATCTATAGGGTAAACTACTGAAGAGTGAATGTATGATGGATTTTTAAGGAATCAGAATATAGACTATCCGTCTATCTCTTATCGTACATATGAGAAGCACATGCTTCTGAGGTCACTTCATCCAATAAGAATAATTCCCCACTTATAGGTGACTGTGCCTTACTAATTGGAACTCCCAAGAGGTGTGCAACAAGCGCCAAATTCAACAGGATTCTGACGCAGCTATCTAGATGGAAACTTCGTCAGGAGACCTGGCAATTGTGTGTCTGGTTTCCATCTTTGTTGCAATCATAAAAAAGTGAGAGGAATGGACAAGGAGTGTGTACAGCTCCTCCCTCACCTTGTTGCTATGGTAGCTTTTCAGAACACATTTTTCTCATATTCAGGGGTACCTCTCTGCTGTTTCTACGGGACGCGATGGCTGTCACGACGGTTTTTTGAGTGAGTTTCTATGGAAATCTTCAAAACGTTTGATATTACTGACAGTATTCTTCGAAGAATCTAGGATTAACCTGCACCTAATTGAGTCGAACTTTTCTCCTTGAATTTCTACACTTGCCGCAACTCAGTAGACCAGTCACTACTATAGACGGAATACATGCATCTGCAAAGCAGGCCGATTTTGACGAGAAGCTCAGCCGAATGTCAGGTAGATCTCTGGTTAATTATACTCTCCAACTGACTGTGCTGCGCAAAAGCTGTTTCATTCTCTAGTTGACAAGGTATTTTAAATATCGGAGCATATTGCCTTCACGTAACACACTACTACTGCTGAAGACTGTTTGACAGCTAACTGGGTTTTCAATGACCTCGATCTATACTTTAGTCTGCCGTCTGTGTTTACAGTACTCTCCCTTTAGGGTGATCACTTCAAGAGAGCAGCGAAATAAGTTACTATGGAGAGGATGGTTTCCATAAGGAGACCAACGATGACAAAATGTTCGTAATCTAAAGATCAATAGACCTTCCATCAGGGATCCTATGCCCGAGAATCCCATCATCTTTGATTCAGACCAGTATACACCTGCATCATGATACAGCTTTATCAATCGGCGATAAATTTCCGTAGGTTATTTCATTCCCGCAGCCGTAATTTTCGCTCGCTTACGCTCCGGTGGGTTTACTTGGTTAATAATAAACCATCGTAAAGTCGAGAATCTTGGTTACTCCTTAAAGTGAAATTTATCTTCAATGCATATATTTTTATGAAGACACAGGCAGTAGTCTGTACCCAAACACCAGGATTACCATAACGTCCAGTTAACGATTGAATCGAAACAGTGATAGCTTGCTCCCTCCACCAAATTCAACCTTCAAACCCATGATGGCTTAGGATGTCAAAATGAATTTGAACGCAAATTTACGGAACGCTCTGAAGTCAACCACACTGATTTCGGTATGCTCAATCATCTAAACGTTCCTAAACTGAATTAACTCATTAGCAAGAATCATAATAATGAGTGACAGATGTAGGAAAAAAATAAACACAGGCGGAATCAAACAGGTGAATGATACCGTAGTAGGATTGTTACGCACGTTGAGTTATTCGCTATAATATATGAACAGACACATTAACGTATTGGTCCTGACTGTTTTCTGACTTTTTTATTGAGATATTCGTGATTCTGGAGGCGCTAACCCTAGGTATAGCTATAGCTAGGCATAGATATTCCACAAACGGCTCCGAGAACAATGTGAGGTTTCATCCTGAACTTCCAAGTTTTTATTTCATGTCCGTCTGAACACGTACACACCATCTGTGCTTAAACTGACCTACCGCGATCATTTGTTTTGGCAATCTGGTAATCTGTATACCGTCTCTAATTCGAATCACATTCCGATTGGGCAATTTTTCGCAACCGTTGATTTAATGTGGTGTTGATCCCTACAACTACGAGGGAACCGTAAGTGGAGACCCAGATGTATATTCTATAGCTTCTTTCATTCACAAGAGCACTCTTCCGTTTTGCAACACCAAGGATCTGATGAGTAACAAGCAACTTCTGTTATACGCCCAGCTCATTTCTCTTTCAGACTATGCGGCTATTAAAGCATTCAAATCATATCCTGGATTGTACCCCTTTGAAAGAGTCTGAATTGTCTTTAGCATAGTGCTGCTGACCCCTCACTGCGTACGTTTAGGCTAGAGTCTTTACAGCTCACACAAAATCCTCAGTTCCATCAATACACCTATACGTGGCTACCCATTTGGTCTGACGTCACTCGTCCAAACTTCCATGTGCTGACGCACCAAAATAGGATTAAGTGCATGATTGCTCCCGTCACTTGGTTGCGAGACTTTGATCTGCTTCTAGACTTCTGGAAAAAGCATTCAAGCCCTATATTTTTACAGAACAGATGTTAGCGTACTTCATGTAAATAATGTCTGATCTTGATGCTGATATATTGTTGCTTTATATGAGTTTTCATCCCTCTGTCATATTGTAGAGCACTATGATGCGATTGGTACTTATTCATTTTTTTCGCTGAATCTCAGACTAACTTTGGGCTTTTTAATGCTTCTTTCAAAAAGTTTGTAACACATGAACACAGCAACAGTTGTGATTTTACGCTACACTGTCCCCGTACCTCATGAAATTCCACAGAGTAATTTGTCGTGTAATACGATCGACAAATTAACAAGTGAGTATAAGTCTCGTAACAAAAATATGGACCACAGACGTCACGCCACTCGTGTCGCTCTAGAGGGGTACCTCAAAAAATACCCTCCACGTGTAAAGAATGAGTACATTCAGTGATCTTGAACTATTCTGCATTAGATGGCGTGGTTGATTTCGTCACAACCCAATAAACGTAGCAGGTTTTGATGCATGTTTCGGTTGAACCAGTTCAAAGATTCCAAAGTGCGATTCCTGTCGGCAATTCAGACGGTGCGCAAATCCGGCAGAGTGCACTTAAACAACTGCCCTGTTAGCTTGACCAATATTATTTGCCCATCAGGGAAAAGGAAGCAGAAGCTTTGGCAAACTCCCTCTTCCCAAAATCGGCTCTCCATGACGACACACCTATGGGTGCGCATAAATCATTGACCTGCTTGCCGAATGTGTACTTTCCTATGTGCTGTTTAAACATAACGCAGCCTCTGTTGGTTATTTCACAGCAACTCATTTCTACTTAGGAGAAATCAACAGTAGGTCAAAGTTCATTTTAATAATCTTTGGTGAGACAATTCCTCTAGATGGGAAATTATCTACAGGCCAATAATGTTGGTGAACATTTAAATTCACTACCTTGGAAGGAACTGTGTTGCAGTCTTGCATCATAACTCACCCGCTGCGGTAACTGACAAGTCTGCCATGGTTTGGACTGCTTCCGATCATCCGGTTGAATCATCTTGGATGAAACATCTTGTGCAACTTCGCTGCACAGTTTACGGAATCCGAATCTGTGAATGGGATAGAATTCGCACGATAACAGTTACAGATAGACACAACTGTCGTTCGCCGAAACAGTCTTTTATGGGACAACGAGGCAATTCCTAGGAAGAACGATACTAGATGCCACAGAAACATTCGTCCGTCTACTTCGGTAGGCGTAATTCTCTCACACTAAGCAACCTTAACCTGGTATATGGGTGTGATTAGAATGGCAGCTAGCGAATATACACTCATTTGCAAACTAATTTGGTTTTTTCGAGATACTCACCTGAAACCCAGCTGGATCTCTCGCTTGTGATGTTTTCAGGTTGGGTTCCAGGTGAGTCTCTCGAAAAAACCAAATAAGTTTGCAAATGAGTGTATATCCGCTAATTGCGTGCAATTTGGTTTCAAGTAGAACGTAAGGTTGACAGAAACCCGGGGACTGCGCTTACCTGATGAGCCCCAAAATAAGGCGAAACCGGTCGTGGGCTGTAGACGGGTTTTCAGCAACCTTATGAGTAGTACATTACAAAGAACAGCAGTTACTTTAAACCTCAAGGTTTTCTCTTGCTGATACCTGGCCGAATGATAATTATACAAAAGGCCTGTTCATTTAAATGCTCATTCAGATTAAAGCCTGCAATACCAGGCAACCGAAAACCCAAAATAATGGAACATTTTTCGTAACGCATATGTTCCCGTTTCGAGATGACCGAGTGGTTTGATCGCGAATATACTGACCATGTCCGTGCTCCCAAATCGATCTATGCATCTCGACTTCCCCTCTCTAGACTTGGTCATCCTAGCAGCATCCCAGCTTTTTTGGGTAAAATGGCAGCTGCGCACTGAAGGAGCGCTACAGCTGAACTATTTACTTTTTATTTATTTATTCATAATGTCCCGTGGCTATGTATGACAAAATGATCTAAAGCCAGACTACAAGTGCTAACAGTATGTTTCAACTGGATTTAGAAACTGAAGGCTGTTGAATACACTGCTTATATCTTCTTGGCTAGAAAGCCTAGTTGAAGGAATATCTGGCAAACAGAAAACCTTACAAGGGTACATGACTTCATTTCTATTCTGAGGAGAGCATTTTTCGAAAGGTCTCTGGGACTATATATTATGGAAACTACTATTTGGTTCTAGTACTTATATGTGGCGATAACCAACATTTGAAAAAACTTGCAGGCCACAATAATTTCAACCATGAGTAAAACCTTTGAAAATTCTGGATCACCGTTCGTTTTTGGCTGACGAGAGACGGAGCAAGCATGTTATGATATCGGACAAAAACTGACCATTAACTAGACTACTACTCGATAAGTAAAATAAATCGAAAACATGAAATGGAACAACTAATTGTAAACGCGAGGTACCGGGTATGTCTCTTGGCGAACACTTTTTGTGGGATGAACAGCGAAATGTGACGTGTCTTAACAACAAAATATAACGGCAAATATGTCCTTTAAAACGCACTGTTCCATATCCAGTTTGGCGCGAAGCTCACTCTGTGCATCCCCCACTTGCTGAAGCCGAAAGTGAAGCACTTTAAGTTGTTCATCGATGCGTGCCTGTAGTCCATCCAGCCTGAAAGATCGTTGTTCAGGGGATGACAACACAAATATAAGGCAGTGTTATACTTGTATTATACTTGTGTTATACTTGTATTACTGTATTGTTATTGTGTGAAATATGGACTGAGTCAGTTGTACAGGAACCATTTGGCTGTTGTTTAAATAATTTCGTTCGTTGACAATAAGATTTTAGCACGTGCGTTATCCGTAGATCCTGTTTTTGCAACCAACAGATAGCCCGAGATTTATACGGTTTGTTTAGCATAATTCACAAGTGGGATTGGTCCAAGTGGTTAGAGCGCGAATTTACTGACTGGAAGGTCCGTGGTTCGAACCCTCTCTCGACTTCCCCTGTCTAGGCTTGGGCAACTTGGCAGTATCAAAGCCCTCATGCTTCCTTCGTGTGGCATGGCAGCTACGCACCGAAAGGGTGTTACAGTTGAACGATTATTATTATTATTATTATTATCATTATTATTATTATTAATTGACAAGTACCCTACCTGGTCCGATTTCATCACCTGTCTAACATCAAAACGAAAGTGGTGATGAGTTCTGATCCACTCAGTGAAGTGGTCCTTTTGAGGTGAAATCAGCTGGCTTGTATTTTTCTAGGTTAAACATCTTATGTAATGCGATGTGCTTTGACGCGATCTGATCTCTGTTCAACCACATATCCTTCGCTTTGCGATTTCCTGGCATGCCGTAATCAGCTGTAACCGGTAGCCTGCTTTATCCCACACTGATGGACTGATGGGCTATCAGATAGTCACCCAGATCTAAAAAATCACGAAGTCCAAAATAACCACTATACTGTTTGCAGCCTCTACACTGAAACTGACGTATTACCTTGCCTAAAGCCTCTCACTAATCAGTCTCTGCTTGGGTAAAATATCCACATAATATGTCACTGAAATCCTCACCTAAACAAAGTTACAATCTGGCAAAAAATTAATGAAGATTGCACAATGGACTCATTCAGTGAAACAGTTGGACACTAGATAACAAATGCTCACATTCAAAAACCTAATGCTGCATGGCCAACATCCGTTGCGATCTCCCCCTTTTACCGTAGATGTATATCAAGGGTGTAGCTTAGCTGGTATAGCATACCAGCACTGGTTCCGACACGTGTACTGTATTAATCTTCGCAGTGGTTGCACCAGAAGCCTTTCGTTATTCAATGGTTTTCAGGGTTAGCGAACCATAAATTTATAGATTCAAGAGGAACTAGTTAGAAAGTGAAGACGGGTTTCGATAAGAAACTGACAGGTTCAACAATTTCAGTTTTTGATTTGATCACGATAACCAGTGGCCAAGCTGAATGGATGTGGCTAAGTAAGCATCCGAGCAACACCAAGTCAGCGACTGATTCAGCGTTTGTGGTGAGTAAATAAGGCGCGGTATCAATCACTAAATTCTTCGGACTAAGTAAAGTGAAAAGTTGACTCAGCTGATACACATTGGGGTAAGATTCACCGAAAACAACACTCACATGTGTTTGTACCGATCCTCAGTAAGCTTTGTCCATTTCGGATCGACATTATCGTTGGGATTTGCCGGATCAAGTGATGAACCAGGAGAAAATTGATTACTACATTTCAACAATTTCTGCGACAAACCAGCCAACTTGCTGTCCATTTCTCCTCGAAGTCTGGACGCCTTAAATGTTATAAGCGAACAGTGCAGATGAGTCCAACATTACATGTAATCGTACAACGGATGGACATGAACTTACCAGTGCGTCCATATTCATGGTTAGGCGGTTATACTGTTCATCAACCTTCCGACTAAGCGCATTCACCTCAATTTCAAGGGCGGATATCTTAGCCTTCACAATTCGGACTTCATTGCTCAAACGAGACGTGGCTCCATTTTCCACCGATGTCTGGCCTGTGGTCGTTTCCAACTTAGAGATACTAGCAAAAAGATTATGAAGAAACAATCGATTCTGAATAATCGTGCATGATGCATCGTATTAAATGTTTCAACAGGTGCTGATAGCGAGAGCCTTGAACACCACCCGTTGCAGAACTAATTCACGTTTCTTAACCAAAATCTTTCACTTGCATTTTTAGTACGGAAGGAATAGTTGGTGTGTGCTTAAACGACTAACCTATAAATTATCCTATCAGCATTCCTGTTATACAGCGGTTACGATAGCTGTCTCCCTGTTCGTCACCGGTTGCCTTGAGCAAAAGGAATTTCCGTCGCACCTTCTAATCTATATTCATCATTCGTCAAGAAAATCAACCGTATTATAGCAACCATTCCAGCATGGAGAAGAACCAGCTGCATGTCGCAGAGACATAAAACGAAAAACATCCTTGTGAATCCTTGTTATCTATATCAACAGTTCACGAGGGAGTGGAAATTCCCCTCTGGTGAGGAAATAGGGCAGAGAGATTTGGTCATTCATCTTCTTACACGAAACATCTCATTGAATATTTTATATAAACGTAAGCCTCCATATTCTGACAAGATTCAAACGCATGAGCCTGTTAAACTGTGGTTTCGCTTTTTTATTATCTTATTGTTTATTCGCTTGGTTTATTCACCATGTAGCATGTCGCCAGTCTTGCATGCTTCTGTTACCCAGCAACTGTAACCCGGAGGTGAAGTTATATCTTGCTAACTAGTTGAGATGCATGATCAATAGTGATGGTCAACGTACGTAGTATCGTTCGCCTTTGTGTAACTCATGCACGCAAAACAGATGAGGAAACATGTCTGACTTGCGCTACCAGAGAGATATTAGTTGAAAAAACAATCACTTTCACTTTTCTTGGGGGCAAAACAACGAATTCGTTTCCTGTCCCTTTTGAGAGGATTCACTTCGGAGCATCCAGCATTGAAGTGACAGATGAAACACATTTCTCTAGAGGGTCAAAAATACCACCATCAGAGGAAGATAAGTTACAACTTAACCCAATCACCTGACATTCTTTTAAGGGGATTGGTGCGGTTCACAGGATTGAAGTGGACAAAATTTTGGGTATCTTTGGCCTATAAACTGTTCATATTAGGTGAGCAGAGGCGCATTAAGGAATATAACAAAAAACTGCTCAATTTTTAGAAAAGTGCATGTAGGTATGATGTGAGACCCGAGAAAAGTTTCGGATTACTTATAACTTCGTGATCTCCGGGCAAAACGTCCTTAAGAAAAGGGTAATGTTATGACCATTCCCAGTGTCACATTTGATTTTAACAGAGATCGATAGCAACCTGATACGACTATTGGAGGGGTTTGTTGACCTGGTTAAGCATCCAAAACCGTCAAGTGGCATTCAAAATCCGTTTGGAGGTATATGGTTAGCACCAACTTCTTCTGCTCCTATTGAATGTGACGGATCAAATGCGCGAGGGAGCTTCCTGGGAAAAAAACAGTGTATTGGTCTCCTGCCATGCCGCAGTTCACATTCTGTGCCACATTCCTGGATGCTTATCTAGGATATTTTTATTATTTTTGTGGGGTGCAACTGCAAGTCATGGACACATGAAAACCCTTAACCTGCTATTGTGTATTTTTAAGCTGAAATGAGTCCGTTTATTGATACATTCAGGAAAAATAAGCGATAGCTGCACGAGCATACTGCAGAAATTTCTGAAAGATGAGGAGCGAATACGGCCAGACGGCGTATCCTAATTATTTAAACTTGGTTGTGATGGGTTTGTGGTGGTTAAGGTTCGGGAAAGGCATGTGCCAGCCACGCGTCTCTGACCTTACTCTTTGCTCACGGCCGTACGTTTTGTCCGAACCTTTATATATCGCTTGCAAGACAACTGGAAGGCGTTGGATCTCAAGATCCTTTGCGTCCAACTAGGCACATCGGCACTTGATCCCTCAAGATTTCCAAAGTTCTCCTTATGGAGGGCAACTCTAGCAACTGTCCATCAGATTAAACACAAGAGAAGTGCGGTTTGAGTTTTTCCTGGCAAATATAAGCTGTAACACCCTTTCGGTGCCTAACCGCCATGCCACAAGAATGAAGGACGAAGGCTGGGATCTGCCAGGTTTGTCCAAGCCTAGACAGTGGAAGTCGAGGGGTCAACGTCAGGTTCGAACCACGAACCTTCGCGCTCTAACCACTGTGCCATCTCGACCCGGCAAGCATAAGAACTTTCATACAAGCTTCGCGTCAAGTTATCATTCACACCTTTACACTCAAGATACTTTTCTTTTTCAGTCGCAGACAAGGCGGGTAAGACTCATAGGCTTCAGATTCAGGCTGAATAGATAAAACAAATTTCGAGATATGCAAATGAATGCTCATTTTGGAAATCTACCTTGTTGGCATCCTTAATAATGCAATATCAGGGATTGCAGGCAGTAGCGGAGAACTTCTCTCAGTTACTCTTACGATTTACAGTGTAAAGATTATTGAAATTGTGTGTTCTAGGGATCCCAAGGGGTCCAAACAGCAGGAGAATCAACTGTTCTCTCCAATGTAGTTCCATATGGATGAAATTATGAGTGCAGAAAGAATGTGTGCATTAGAGAAGCCCTCCCTTACTGCAAAACAACTAAATATCTGAGGAGGCTTTCCGCAAATGCCTTAGCGCCCGGTAGGCTAGCACATAGTTCCGTCAAGATGAAAATCTACAACAAATCATAACTACAAAATAGTTAAGTGAGTTAGTCGACGGGAATCTGGAACAATTAAATTTGATAAAGATCATGGCGCAAGTGGAGAGCAGTCCATCAGGAACCATTCAGAGTTGGTCAGTAGTCAGGTAAAAGAGTACGCCAAAAGAAATCCAAGCGATGCGTGTATGGGGCGAAAATATCGCTTTCAGCAACCTGTTCATGTTGTACATAGGCTGACTACCTAACTAAATTGGAAGATACTAAAAGGTCTTGAGGAGCCCGTAATAGTTCGCTTCGGCGCGGCTTCAGCCTGTCACCAAGGTTCGAGTGTTCAATACCCTCATACGAATGTGAACTCTAGCTTATACGGGCTGAAAATATCATACCGTCCATGGGGCAACATGGACCAAGTGAGTAGAGCGCGAATTTACTGACCGGAAGGTCCATGGTTCGAACCCGACCTCTGCCTCTCGATTTCTCCTGTCTAGACTTGTCAACCTGGCCCTCGTGCTTCCCTCTAGTGGCATGGCAGCTAGCCACCGAAATAGTGCTACAGCTGAACGATTTTTTTCTACAAAACACCTCAATCACCTGGTGGCAGTGGCAGATAAGTGACGCCCAGCTGCAACAATATGCCTACCACAGACGTAATGACGACACTGATGGGGGTAACGATTGGCCGTGGAACGTGAATTCCGAGAGCCATTATTTATTTGGATTCAGGTGGAAAATGTAAATGATGCCAAGCGATGAAACATGAAGCCACTGAATTTTCGGTTATTCCCTATCGGGTCTTGTGGACCCCTCAAAAGAGGTTTCCGCATATCACATACAGACCCGGAGGGAAAGACGTCAGCACACAATATTGTGAAAGACATGCTTATCTAGAAATCGATATTCGTTAGTCTAAGTGTTAACCTTTCACTCCCAGCGCCCCTCTATGAGGCGAAAATTAATTTCACCGTGAGAACAGGCAAAGTTATGAGACCTCTGGGATTGGCGAAAGCCATGGATTGGCAGACAGAACGGCAAGTGACCCCTAGCATTCTAACAGCCAGGCATCTATAGGCATTACGCCGTACATTCCTAAGCAGAACGTATGATGCATCTTTTGAAAGAACCGTAAGAGATTTGAGGCTAGAGTACTTTTGAAATTTTCGTTCTGAACACCGCCAACCTGAACGATTGCCTAAAGTCGAAGCCTAAAGTCCTAACAAGGCTGCTATAGACCACGTAAGGATACTTCAATTTTAACGCCGTCATTGGAACTTGTCTACCTTTACAGTCGATGCATTTTTCAGTACAAGACTTTTATGCGCATATGTATTGCGACTATGTTCATCCTGTTTCCATAACCCCTTCTTTACTGTCGTATGAAGAAACCGCTTAGGTACCATTGATTTTCTCTATGAGCTTTTGTCCAGAATTGGGCAACCGTGTTCCTTGACACTGAAAACCAGCTCGAGATACGGATACGTAATACGCTTTTGTTCAAACTGAGTTGGTGTTACCAAGGAGCTCGTTGAAATTTCAACGACAGTATCTCATTCACAATATTCCTCCCCAAATTCGCCACACAAAAGCCGCCTCATCTTTCAATCGGAAATGTTTTGGAGATATAGAAGTTCATCTCCTAAAATATTATCCACAAGCTCGATGAAAACCCTGAACAGTCCAGTACTTGTTTCACCCACCCGATGAGCACGAAATACCAGTGGTGAGCCTTATGAGTAGTATCGTCCGAAGTATTAGTCTATAAGATTAATAATTGTGATGGATAATAACAATGATAATAATAATAATGGATGATAGTAATAATGGATAACAATAATGGATAGCTTATTGAGGCCATCCAGTCATTGTGTAAGGGATACAAGGATAAGCCTACATTTCTCTTCTGTTCAGCAGTACAGACCACACATTCAGTACTTACACTAACAGTGAACTCAACTATCAACCGCTTTGAAAATGAGTTGCCCAACTCACCGCATATCCAGTCGATTAAGCTGTTCATCAAGACGTTCGGTTAAGGACATCACCACGTGACGTACAGCCAACATTGAGCCGGGATTGATATCTACTCCCTATTAATGAGTAAAAAGAAAAGTTCAGGTGTGAGGAGTCATGGTGAATAGTACATACCGGACCATAAAAACCGATCGTGTTTTCCAGCTTTCTAGGAAGATGCTTCCCTTGTCCATTACCGGTCCAACTACCCCTGGATGGAGAACGGCGCCGTTCAACCAAAGACATGCGTGCTTCCAACCGGCGTACACGTTCAGTTAAGTTAGCTGTGTCGTCAGTAAATGAGTTGTCGTGCATGTAAGATGGCGAGTTTACTCGATTGTCCAACCTAGGTAAACTTGACATTTTCAGCTGTCCGGGTAGGACATTCCATGTTATGTTGTGGCATTAAAAAGAGGACTGAAAAGTAGACAGTTCCTGTTGATTGGCTGGATAGACCAACAGTCTATTGGTGCATCACGAAACAGAAGCGGAAATACTTCCGTACAAAAATAGACAATAAGCTTGGGTAAGCTTGGCATACCTGGCACTGCAAACTGAGTAACGTCTCTTGATAAGCTTAGTGATTGTCAACACTTGAAATGGTGGCAAATTTGTGATCATACTCCCTTAAAAGCTCAGCCAACAATTCCATCAAAGCACTTACTGAATAGGTTAGAGTTCGCCAGTTCTTTGGGCTTGTATATACTGGAGTCTTAGGGCCGTTGTGGGTCAGCGTAAAGTGAATTCATATCAAACAGCTCGTTAATTATTGACTTTACTTAATGCCGCCTCAGCAAGAGGTCTTGGGACTATTAGTGACCCAATGGTGAGTGGATACCATCCGAAGAACGCGTGCAGAGATCACCCAATGGGACAGCTGGGTTGCCTTGATTGGTCGGAACAATAATCAAAGTGAATGATAACAGAAAACAATGGGAAAACAATGGGGAAAACAATGGGAAATATTCCCGATGGAATCGCAAGCCAAATTAACAAGTATACAGAAGGCTACCCAAAAATATAGAATACTGAGGCCGTCGAAAAAACATTAGTTAGGGGTAACGAAACGAAAGGCAATTTCTCCAAACATTTCACCCATACAAACTATTTCCGGTTTTCGGGTCATCAGCTTTCTTCGAAGTTACTCTCAACTTCAGATGAGATGAACACTTAAAGGCTGTTACCTCTGAAAAGTTATATGCACTGAGAACTTTCACCTCGGTCTTAGAACACATAAAATACAGCAACAAAAACAAAACACTAAAATACACACGCGAATGTTTGAACAAAGCGGCTCTCATCATACGGCCAATAAACGGTTGGAACTTAAGTGATCAATGAAATTCTTCCCATCACCGTAGTTTTTGGAGAAAACATATATGGACGTGATATCGTGTAATTTAATTTGAATTGTTTGGCCACATCGTTTCACATATTTTGCAGCCAACGAGTTTATAGAAACTGGTTTTATCCGCGACGGTTGTTTCACATTTCAAGATTTAGTTAAATTGGCTCAACAGTTTGTGCACCAACTATCCGATCGTGTAGAGTTCAGGACAGTAATCGTAGCAACCATTGATGAAATCAATATTTACAGTCTCATACCTCTCACATAGATTACTTACTCTGCAGCAGATACAATCATACTCCATGCAGTTAGTTTCATTCCTCACTGAAGGTTCGAATGCACCGGCTATAGTGAAATGTGCCGTATACATCCGGTCATATACCTCGTGCACAACTTAGTGTGAAAAGAGTATAGGATAACGACGCTGTTATATCTGATCAATTCACTGTTCAACTTATTTCAGATGTTTGAAAATATTTCCTCATTACAAAGTCTTGCAAAGTTGAGGACGAGAGTGTACCAAAATGTGTATGGGCACAATTCTTAGTCAAGGCATGTTTAGGATAATACAAACTCGTCCCCTCATTGGAGTCTGCCTTTTTTTTGATGATGAGTGCTTGTTTTCGAGAAATACACTAATTTGCAAATCAACTTGGTTTTCGCGGGAGACCCAATTGAATTTCTCGTTTATGATGTCCTCCAGCTGAATGTCCTGCACACAGGCCGCCTCATGATTCAGTTGGCAACCTTGTGAGTAGTTTCCTCTATGATTGGTTGTTATTTTTATTCTTGATTGTAATTATACATGATTGTTTCTCATTATGCTCTTCGTACACCACGAAGAACACGGAAATGGTGATATTAGCGGGGGATTTCAATACGGGTGGTATGTTTTGTCTGGTGAACTGTTTTGCAACATTTGACTGATTACCAGTTGTTTCACAGTGACACAGGCTGGCTGAAGGTCTCCTACCGCTTAACAGTCTTGGAAACAAACTGACCACATCACCATCAGATATTAAGGGCGCGGGTCAGTCCTTGATCGCAAATACACAGACCATGACCCCGTTGGGTAGAGATTTTCACCCTTATATATTTCTGGAAAACCCAAGAAACGCAGCAGAGAAGCGCTGTGAGCCATAAATTAGGTAAACACAATTCATTACAAACAGCTATCTCGGAGGACGTTTACTCAATCAGCTGTAACACGCTTTCAGTGCCTAGATGCCACATCAGCAAAAGGAAGTACGCGAACTGAGACACTGCTAGGTTGCTCAAGCCTAGACGGAAGCAGTCCTATTGAGTTCGAACCATGGACCCTCTGACCTGTAAGCTAGCGCGTTAATCACCAGTTCCTGAAGTACCCAGGCTTTATGTGACGGCCGGAAATTTGCTTGTAGCATTTTAAAGAACGTAGGCCGAAGCCAATTGATTTCAGCATGTTTCCAAAGACTTCTTAATGCCGGGGGAACTCTTATTTTGGACTCAGTTGAATTCGACTATACGATCAGTTAGACGTCAGCTTAAACTAAGCCTGCTTTTGGGCAGAAACGAGTGATGAAACTAGAATGTTCGAAAAAATGGGAGAGACCAGTATGAGTTGGACTCTAAGGAAGCTTGCAGAATATTTCAAAATTTTTCCGATAGTGAGTTAATCAAACACCATCATTAACACTATCATTGACAGCAACACTCGATTAAAATATCTGCACCTCGCTGCCATACAACCATGTTATTTTCCCCCATTGAAGTTGTACAACAAAAAAACGACAGAAACAAGGGTCCCACCGAACACAGACATCCGATGTGCTTATATTTCCAACAATCATTCAGACAATCAGCATAGAAAATGACCGCATGAATGCCACGCATCTACAGAAAAGCACACGAACAGTCAAGTAAACCAGATCACGGGGGAACAGTAGCCACAGCACAAACGTTTCGTAACATCTTTCCTTCCCTTATGCCATCTAGCTTTTCGCCACTGTTTTAAGCGCGAAAACCGAAGCTCATCTCGGCAATCAGTATATCAGCATACTTGACACATGCGCTAGCCTCCGTAATTTGCAGGTACAGTGAATCAACTGCTCCAAAAAGACCTAATTTCCACATTTCATTCCGAATCCTCTGGCTCCAAATACGGTTTACAGATAACGGTGATCGGATTTATGAGTGTGCCTCAGCTACCCCCACGCTAAGTGGCCAAGTTTCGCAGTCGTGCAACAATGCAGCCTGAGATTCGCTTCGTTTGAGACTCAGCGAGATGTCTTCTTGAAGTCACAGGTGCCGAAAACTGGCAAAGGCAATTCTGGTCTTTAAAGTTCGCACCTTAATTTCGTTTGTCACAATATAGCCAAAGCTAACGTAACTTCATGATATGCACAGCGCTATACAACTGCATTCTCAGGTGGAAGTTCAGAAATTGTACGTCCGAAGCCGTCGGTGGTTCCAGGTTTACTGTCCACGAGTGTGCTAAAGATCAGGAATCCGGCTGAATAACCGCATATGGTTGGTTAGGTTTTTTTGGAGTGTTCAGCCCATTGATCAGGTGCTGTTCAATTTACAGATGGGCGAGCCGTTAGTATTAGCGAATGGTTCGTAACCCAGGGGCCTATTGCGCGCATCATCTGGAAAAGTTCAAGCAAACTACCAGAGTTATTGGCTTCTTCCAACTCCCCTCTCCATAATTTCTGAACCCACCGAGATTCTCGACCCGCTCAGATGGCATTTTTTTCACTGGATTCCGATGAGCTCTACTCTCAACTGGAAGGAATGTGAGGTTCGAATAATTTGAAAATGTCGACCGAGATCCAATTCTTAGATTTAGTTAGTTGCGCCGTTCCCAAGTATCTGAATACAAACAGTGTACGACATTCACGAACATCACGAAATACCCGGTTGCGCATGTTTAAAAAAACTAACCCGTCGACAGAATCCATCTCTCTTGAATTCAAAGAACACCAAGATGGCAGGGCATCTAATTGCATGCCGTTGCTTTAATACCTTACGAGGTGCAAAAATGTGGTCCATAGAGGTCTTTCCTGACTGGAATTCAGCTTGATGTTCTCAGGTCCCCCCTTCACACATCTTTTTTAAATGATGCAAAATCAACCACAAGAATGGTCAAGTTGATTCCTCCGATTATCACCTCACTGACAGAACTCTTTTTGAAAACGAGCACTACTGTCAACTCACTCGTTAGCTGGAATAGTCTTTGTCGCTCAGATAGAGGCAAATAAGTTAAACATGCCCCGACTGAGGAGTTCATCTTCATCTTTGAACAGAACGGTGTGAGTCCATCAGGACTAGCAACTCAGTGGCAATCGAGAGTTAAAGAACGTCCGTTTCCTTCCGAAGCCATCGATGGTTCCAAGTTTACTGTCTACGAGTCTACCAAAGATCAGGAAACTGGTTGAATAGCTGCATATAGTCAGTTAAGTTGTTTTTTGGAGTGTTCAGCCGATCGATCAGGTGCTGTTCAATTTACAGATGGGCGAGCCGTTAGTATTAGCGAATGGTTCGTAACCCAGGGGCCTATTGCGCGCATCATCTGGAAAAGTTCAAGCAAACTACCAGAGTTATTGGCTTCTTCCAACTCCCCTCTCCATAATTTCTGAACCCACCGAGATTCTCGACCCGCTCAGATGGCATTTTTTTCACTGGATTCCGATGAGCTCTACTCTCAACTGGAAGGAATGTGAGGTTCGAATAATTTGAAAATGTCGACCGAGATCCAATTCTTAGATTTAGTTAGTTGCGCCGTTCCCAAGTATCTGAATACAAACAGTGTACGACATTCACGAACATCACGAAATACCCGGTTGCGCATGTTTAAAAAAACTAACCCGTCGACAGAATCCATCTCTCTTGAATTCAAAGAACACCAAGATGGCAGGGCATCTAATTGCATGCCGTTGCTTTAATACCTTACGAGGTGCAAAAATGTGGTCCATAGAGGTCTTTCCTGACTGGAATTCAGCTTGATGTTCTCAGGTCCCCCCTTCACACATCTTTTTTAAATGATGCAAAATCAACCACAAGAATGGTCAAGTTGATTCCTCCGATTATCACCTCACTGACAGAACTCTTTTTGAAAACGAGCACTACTGTCAACTCACTCGTTAGCTGGAATAGTCTTTGTCGCTCAGATAGAGGCAAATAAGTTAAACATGCCCCGACTGAGGAGTTCATCTTCATCTTTGAACAGAACGGTGTGAGTCCATCAGGACTAGCAACTCAGTGGCAATCGAGAGTTAAAGAACGTCCGTTTCCTTCCGAAGCCATCGATGGTTCCAAGTTTACTGTCTACGAGTCTACCAAAGATCAGGAAACTGGTTGAATAGCTGCATATAGTCAGTTAAGTTGTTTTTTGGAGTGTTCAGCCGATCGATCAGGTGCTGTTCAATTTACAGATGGGCGAGTCGTTAGCACTAGCGAATGTTTCGTAACCCAGGGGCCTGTTGCGCGGATCAGCTGGAAAAGTTTAAGCAAACTGCCAGAGTTACTCGCTTCTTCTAACTCCTCCCTCCCATATTTTCTGAGCCCACCAAGATTCTTGACCCGCCCAGATGGCTCTTTTTCTACTCAATTCCGACAGCCCGTCGAGTTGTACTCTCGACTGGAAGGAATGTGACCGAGTTTCGAACAATTTGAAAGAGTCCACCAAGATCTAATTCTTAGATTTAGTTAGCCGCGCCGTTCCCACGCGAACAACCAGAAAGAGTGAGTCAGTAATTGACGAACGCCACCTATAGCTAGGGATCATGTACTGTTTTAGTTGCGAGTTGGCTTGCATTCGGAGAGAAGCCTGTGACCAAGGGGTTTCGGGTATTTAGCAGGCTGGCAATGCATATGAACAGTCTGTGATCAGCACACATGCATCGGACATTTACTTTTATCCATGCACTTCGATTCCCGCCCAAGACGATCATATAATTAGGCCTCAGTCGCGCCAAGTCTACCTAATTGCGTATTCATATCCCCAGCGACCACAACCAGTACTCAGTGCAACGTAGCAGGACCCTCGAGAGTATCAGTCAGTCTGTTGGTGCGCAAGCAGATAGGATGAGCAATCAATGATTAACAGAGCACTCCAGGGGACTCTCAGGTACGGTGACAAAAGATACCACACACTGGTTCAATTCAGCTTATCAGATTTAAACCAAGTACCAAGGGTACGTTGGTTCCAGCTGCTACAGTTTCAGTCACCGGAAAAGGGGTGCGTGGATAAACAGCCAAGAATTGGCGGCGGTGATACGACCAGTTAGTTCGGAAAACTGCACAGCCATGCCTTGAAGGTGATAGCTTTGCGGCATGAGCGCCACTAACTGCGTTACTGAGCGAAGGCTGCCAGTGTCGCTAACAGCTTGTGAATTTAGTTACGAGGATGTGGCACTTGTCGACTGAGTTAAATGGTCAGTCTTCATACACCGTTGCCAGGTCGGACAGGTAGTTCTAAAAACCAAGAGTATGGCTTCTTCAGTTCGCTTCTATTCCTTCCCCAACCACCCATCACTAGCCGTGCCTTTCCATTAGCTTTCCAGCCAGATCAGCTCGATACTGTTCAGTTACTCAAACTTGTCGAGGACGGTGAACAGAGTTGCTTTTATTCTGCACCTGGTGCTGATGGAAAGCAGCCTTAACCGAGACCACAAATCAGCATGATCGGAGCCAAGTTGTGTAATTCAAAAGAGATGGCAACTTTTAAGTAACGCTCTCCATCGGCAATTGGTAGATACATGATCCATGTGGGTTCATCATGTGCCTACGGCTGGTAGTCTCCAAGCAGCCCGGTGTGTTTGTGCTGTTAGCTCGTAGTGGTCAGGACCAGATGTTCAGCATACAATTGGGGAAGCGGCTCCCCATTATCCATCGGCTGAGCATGAACCCCAATTCCACTACCCAATCGTGCTGCTTCCTGGGTAAGCCGTCCAACCCGGGCGTTCCTATCACCGACCAGGATGACCATATCCGTCCTTGCCGACCGAAGTACGCGATACTCAATAAAAAACGAACACTTCTCAGACTCTATCGGGGCGTATGCTGATAAAGTAAATAAAGTTTGCCGCATCTACCTGCATTGAGCTTAACTGTCAGATGACTGTCTACTAAGATCCAGACCAGTAAAGCGCTTCCAGCCCTGGGGCTGAATGCAACTCCTACACCATAGACACCACTAGCCATTGCGCCAGGATCACCAAATATCAGAAGGGGAAACTGTGAGATATTTGAGCTCACCCCAAGCTGCTCTGATTTAGCGGTCGGAGTGGGGTTCCGTGTGCGTGTTTCGGAAATACAACATAAAACGACAGAGAAAGTAAGATTTCAGTAAGAGATGCTTGTTTACAAATTCGACAGAGGGTACGAAAATTGAAGGCTACAACGTGGATTACCGCCTTGGAGACTAGTAAAGGATTGTTTTGCGGAGCAGTAGTTTGCACACGGAACAAGTGTCAGGGGAATGGCAGATGGGCTGATCGCTGTGCATTTGACGGGTGCGGGTCGATCAACGAAGAACTGCAAGGGCTGATGATACGCCCCAGCTAGCCAGGCCGAAGAAGTTGAATGGGTTGAAGCACCCCACCTTGAGCCTCTGACCAAAGGTTTGAATCACGAGGTAGCGGCTGACAAGGTTCCCTTCAGGGACTCTTCCTAGAGCCAGTTACTCAATAGTTTGACCTATTGGCTGCAATGCGCTAGCATGGTCCGAGGTCCGGAGTAAAGCATTATTTTCTGACTCCCCATGCGACGGTGCATAGCAGATGCTCCTTGAGTAGCACCAGACTCCTTGGTTCGGAAAGCATTTCGACCGTATTCAATAATGGGCGGGCGGTCACGATCAACCACTGGACGATCAGTGTGCAGGTTTTATGGCGTTTCCGTGGGGAAGCAGCATCGCTGTTCCCATAAATATGGTTATGCCAAACCCCAGAAAAAGACGCAATCACACTCCGATTACAGTTGTCGGCGTGATTTACCTCCAAACCGCCTGGTAATACGATTTTTCGAAGTAGGGGAGCTCGAAGTTCATCGTTGAGCTGCTCCCCATCGGTCTTCCTTGCATGTTTGAACCATAAGGACCTGAGTTCCAGCCCGCAGGACCATCGCAGCACAGAAGCCTGAACATCACAAGGTGGCAGCTTTAAGTCGGTACAACATACGCGATTAACGACCGGAAAATATCTAAGCACAAATTTTCAGCCGGGTGGCTTAGACTAGTGGCAACTCCCCAGAACCAGCCAGTTGCTCCGGGATCACCAGACACACGACCGGCATATACAAGGGTAAAACAATTGCGAAAGACATTTCCATAGAGAGGAAGCATAAACCTAAGTATCAAAACCACATGTGAAGAGCCATCGAGCTCATATTACACACCCAACATCGCTTTGTCCTTGGCCGAAGCAGCGTCACAACTCAGGTTCCCCCCAGGATCACCTGGTCTTCATAAAACGAAACCCCGAGTGACTCAATAATCAACCGGATTCATAATCGAAACCCCAACCTTCCTCCTCTTTGACGATTGAACGAGCTTTCACAATGACCCAAATATGAAAAAACGCTTTAAAACTTAAGTACATGCTGACCAGGTGGACAGCGACCTTGAAATACGCAAACGGAGAAAATAACCATTCTAGGTAGAGGCAGTGGGATCAAAATTGCCCAACCACTGATCTAACGCGACTAGTAAAGACAAAATACCCAAAGATCGTTTATTATTTCACACGAAATGCACAACCTCCGTTCTAAACACGTGGAAAATACGTCAATCTGGTGTCCAAATAAAACAGGTAATTTGCAACTCTAATAGCAAAGGCATTTGAATGCAAAAGCAAAAGTATCTGATTAAAATTCGAAATCCCCAGCTCCACCGGGCTGCTGATCGGGTGCCACAAACTGAAATTCTTGAGCAGAGGTGGATGCCATCGCAGGATTTGTAGAATCTGCTTCAACCTGATCAGTAGACTGTTCACCTTTGGACTCATCCTAGATAAAAGAATAAAGTCCATATTTGAAATAGTTACCTATGAATTCAGTGAGTACCTGTCCAAAGTAACTGAATTAAACTCAAACGATCGCTTAGGGAACAGGGCCGTCATGTCGATAATTGTTGGTCACCTAGAAGTGAAAACCCACAACAATCTCCAAGAAACCCAGCACCGATCACCCAGACCTACACGAGTCAAAGATCCGAAAGACAAACTGACGTGCACAATCCATTGCTGAACTGTACAAATGCATCTTAATTGTTTTGATTGTTGCTTGGATTAAAGATCATACGACAAGCTTTATACCTTAGTGTGCACAGAGAACAGATGACAGTTTCCATCTAATTCAAAGACCTTCAATCAACCGAACGTAATTCCTCAGGCATACGTTCCCTTATCAGATGACAAGAGTAAAAAACCGCTCAAGTGCATGGAAGCATCAAAAAGTTCATGAAAAGACCATCAAATTGAAGTGGAATCACAATATAATGAAACTGAGTAGGTGAGACTAAGCCAGTGCCAGGAAACCATGGTCTCCAGCTTTTACTCAGTATGATTGCCTTGTACCAACCAGTAAGTCTGACTTTCATGTCAGTATACTGAGGTCTCAAAACGACTTGATTGCATTGGACAAAGAGTCGGCTGTTTGTAGGTTGATGACGGGAAAACAATGCAGACAATAAGCATGAAACCGCTTATCGAGTAATCTAAGGGGATCGGATTAGCCATCCTGAATACAGACGGATTTGTGAGTTTACTGAGAACAAGTTTTGGATTTTCTGGCGAGATTGATCAGATGGTTAGAGCGCGAATTTACTGACCGGAAGGTCTGTGGTTCGAACCGGGTCTCTACCTCTCGACTTCGACTGTCTAGGCTTGGGCAACCTGGTAGTACCCCAGCCCCCGTGCTTCCTTTGGGTGGCACGGCAGCTAGGCACCGAAAGGGTGTTACAGCTGAATGATTGTTGTTATATATTTTATATTATACAGTTTTGGATTTTTGGACAGCCGTTTCACAAGGGTTATGTGCTTTAGGAGTTGGCTGTCTAAGGAACGCAATTAATTGATCCGATAATTAATCCGATATGAGAACGACAGATCGAAAAGTGTTAGAGGTGAGCAGTTACATTGGCAAAACCAAACGACAGTGTACTAAAATGTGTGAAAGTGGAAGCCACAAAACAGCTATTATATCGTCTGCCGCTTTTTGTATACCAATTAGAAGCTAAGGGAACTTGCATGCCCATCGTATGCGTCGTGTAGTGTACCGTAATAAAACTGGTGATAATATATTGCAAGACCAATCATATGAAGACTAACAGGATCGTCACACCGAGTGTTAATTATTCTCCGGCAATCTGAACTCCGATATTCTGAAAACTGTCGTCCATTCCTATCTCGTTAAGAAACAGGACAAGGCCTTCATAAAGGTTTATTGAATAAATAAGACACTGTCAGTTTCACCGGTTTGTTGTTTTACAGTGGTAATTTGCAAGCAGCCCATCAAGTAGGGCCATCAAAGAGCATGAAAACTTTAAAGACATCTCGTAAACAGCCGGATTGAAAACTCGACGATACAAGACGAACGCCGACGGAATACATATTGAATGCCTTAAGGGAAGCCGAATAAAATAAGGCTCAAATAACTAAAGGCTGACGAATTGATTTCGAGTAACAGCGATGACGCTTAGTTGTAATTTCCTACACTACACGCTCCAAAATTCCAGAAATAGCTCCATTGCTCAGTGAATCGAAGTTCGATTAATCGATGGTTCGGTGAACTGAAGTTCACAACTGAACTGCGCAGCACAGGTCCTAGTTACAATACTCCACACAGTGTACCTCACACACAAGGAATCTCCAAGTGGTCAATACACCAGGGAAATACTTTAGTGCTTCGGAATTCCCTACGATGGACTACCCCATCCAAACAATGAGGCAACAGTAATCAACTTCCGGTAAGTTCAGCTTTATGGAAAAAAGAGATACTCGTAAGTAGTGCACATTTGTTGCCCTACATCATGCGATTCACCGGCAGAAAACGACCTGAAAAGACTCAAGATATGAATAACGTCGATCCAAGGAACAGAGTCAATCAAGCAAACACAACCTAATATAATCCTTCTGGGCCCTGCTGAGTGTAGCACCGAGAATGAGGTCGACCACACGAACATCTATTACGAGCTGACTGAACGGCAGTACTACGAAACCGCAGGCCTCGATAAAGTCACTCTGGATTATAAGCGAAATACATAAGCGGCCGATCATTCTTAATTGAATGAAAAACCGTTTCGAAAAAAGCTGGCGAAACAATTTGTGACCAGTGGTGCGTAGTTTACAGCTGGCTGTGCAAGTTCGAATAAAAATAAAATGGAAATTGTATGAACCCAATCACATCCGCAGTGTCACAGAGAACTGTTGACGTAACGCAAGTGCATGTTGGAAAATCGCTTTCAATCTGTCGCCCAAAAGGGTGAAATTCAAGGGAGACGTGTGTACTGTATTCTTGAATTTGACTGAAACGACTGTCTTTCAGTGACTAATGTTTTGAGGTGAAAACAGCTGTTGTTGTTGCGATGTTGGTAATTTTCTGGAAAACCTAACAGCACTGAGCATCGGGAAATGAAAACTCATTCACAGTGGAACCAAGATAACTTGAAGTATCAAATACGAAGCCTGAGTGGAAGACAATGCTTTCGGGCTGGTTTGAACAATATCACAAACATCCCACGAAATTCCGGAGGTTCCTGATCCAAACTGCACATACAGTGGATTACATTTCCCAAAAACTAAATGTAAAAAAAACTTGAATGCATTTGAGCTGCAGCCGGGTGACTCCAGAATTAAACTAGGACGACACTCTGGAACAGTCAGGGAACATTCGGTAAGAATCGCTTTGAAATGCGATAATTTGATCCCGATAGTCTTGAAGGTCACAGTTACTTATCATTTCAAAGAATGCGGTATTGAAACACTGAAATCTTCGATGGCTTTCTACTGCGAACAGACATGGCTTCTTCTGTAATGGAATTTATATGAGCTCAGTTGGAAAAGACCGCCTCAAGGTACACAGTTATTAATACCCAAGAGATGCACGCTGTACTCCTTAACCAGGATTTCATTTGAGAACTCGAAGCTACACTGGCCAAACGACTGAAGACCTCTCATGTCAATGATCGAAGCGGTGAAGTGTCACATGCAACATGGTCCTCGGAGTCGTCGTGTCCACTAACCTTAGAGAGTCTAGCTTCTTGAAAACATTTGGTTTCTGAGAGGAACACGGCTAGGCGATACGGACTTGTTGTTGAGCCCAATGCGAATACAGAGCAGTCCGTAAGTCAACCAGACAGAAAGCCTGAAAACATGATTTTCAACTGGATTCCCGTAAAATTAAAATTTTATTACATCGTTTATTATCATCAAACTGTCGCATTCGATAACGTTTGGTGGGCTTGTGAGAAATAATGATTGGAACTGAATATCCACAAATCCCCTGAAGAAATACCTCCCGACACTAAATAACATTTTGGTCCGTCCATCCGAGGTCCCTAATTGAAGCCTTACTCCGTCCGAGAGTTGAATTCATGGACTCATCCAGCATCTACACGGTTCTTTGAGCGAGCTAAATGAAACCGTCAAGTGAATTTCGATAATGTCCAGAGATCTGGGGTAAAGTGTGAATCGATGAGCAAGCAATTATTGTTCCGCATGTCATCTGGTCAGAAAAGTCTGCACAAGCATGTCATTACAAATATGCTTCCAGAGGCCTCACCAGAGTCGGTGGGCGCAATCTGCAATTGAACACAGAGTGCGGCCCTAAAAATCCAGCACAACTCGTCACATCGTTAGCTGACCGATCTTAGGAAAACGATGACACTGATACGAAACGAGTTTATGGCACCCTATATGGGTGACAATTCTCATAATTGACTTTTTACCTAATAGAATAAAGTAGTCGCTCGAAACCCGACAGAACTTTGGCGTGACGATCAACCCAACCAAACCGTGAATACTGTTCGGAAGATCGATGAATATATTTGTCACAAAAATGGGGGAGGCTTACGTTGTCGTTGAAGTACCGATCAATCAGCTCGTATGCAAAGGTATACACCTGTTCGTTCTCGTGATCCTGTAACTGCTCCAGTTGATCCAGACCACCGCATGTTTCTAACTCAATACACGCGACTTCGAGCTGCCCGAATTGCTCTGAAATCTTAGGGTGGGAAAAGAGGATTAGTGCATTAAAAGGGTTAGGAAAACAAGCTAGATAAGCAAGTCATGTAAAACACAGAAATAGGACTGGTGATGCTTTGAGCAAAAACTGCACAACCCTTCGTTGATACTGTTCTTCCAGAAACCGGTTGGGGATCCCGGTGAACTAGGAGGCCAGTTGTTCACATCAAGGTCAATGAAATTGACTGACATGTTTCCAGATCACTCAGTTAGTGAGCTGAGACTGACCCTATCAAATGGGAATACATTCAGAGAACACCTTCGCTTGACTGACCGTAGGTTCCAGGGAAGGGTGATATTCGTTTCCCGTTGTCGCAAACTGGTGAAATACCCTGTTGCTTTCTTCGCATTTACTATAAACCGATAAGAGGTTTACGTGATAACTTCTGGAAGGGATTGGGTGCCGTAACCTTGTAGGAAACTGTACTTTTCAATGGAATTTCATGCAGCGGTGTTCGGAACGGCTCCCCAATCTCGCCAGAAAGTACGACTAAGTCGAAGGGTTTTATCGTGAAGCGTGAATGTAAGGTGCTTCATCAAACGAAATGACAATGGTCGTGGTGCATCACGTGGTGTGTATGTGTTCCACGATGGAACGGTGAGCGGTTGCACCATGCACGTACACAACTTAAATACCCCAGGAATCGGTATAAACCTAAGGCAAATACAATAGAACACTAGAACTATTGGCTTGCCTGGTTGATGAAGTAAATGAGGGAAACTGACTGAATCCGAAATGGTTATCTCCCAGTTACGAAAGCATGAAAGGCATCGATGTTTCCCGCAATGGATACGATCTGGACTGCAGTGAAGAAATATTTCCATCTTGTGCTACCTTTTAACAATTCACTTGATACCGCAGATCACGGTTCCGAGTAACTACAAGACCCCATGCGGAAAACGTAGCGTAACGTGACCGTATGGCGTACTGGCTGAACAAAAGGCTAGACCGAAGATACTGGCAGTCCCTCGTCAAGAATGAAATCCGTCCACTATTGTGAACAGTTTGTTCACTAAAATATTTTTTCCACAAAAAGCAGTGATGATAAAAGTATATAGTCAACAAGTGTTTCCTTTGTGCCTTAAATATATCTTGGTAGAGTGCATTTTGGCGAAACGCATCACCATAGCTGATGTCAAAGTTACTGAGTGTTGTCCGGGGTGATAGCGAAAGCATACCTGGAACAGCTTCCGAAGAGATTCCAAGACCAGAATGACGACGCGAGCATCCGAAACCGTCAAAAGATTGCAGATAGCAGGCATAACTCGTTGGTTCATTAGGTAGCCACACTGCTCGGCAGATCCGCCATTGATCATGTTGCTAACCACCCAGCAAGCCTCCTTCTGAACGCGGAATTCACCCTGCAGAAAAGGCAGAAATCAACTAATATTCGAAAAACACGTGTAGCTGAGGAAGTAGTGTGTTGAATTACATAAGCTGTTAAGGAAAGTGGCATCACTAATGCTAACTCAGAATTAATACGTTAAGTATAGCCACTTCCGATTGCTCCATACCACTTTAAGATTACCTCAAACCATCGTACGGGATTGGCAATATCTGGATGAAATCAGGAAGCTAACTTCAACGCTTAAGTGACCCATAAGCTTCCTTAATGGCGCTGAATACTCCCAGCGATAAAAACACTTTTCGGGTACGTGAAGTATTTTTGTAAATACGGTTAGCTGCATTCGATACGGAATTGTTTGCCAACAATAAATATATCAGCGGACGCATGCTGGAAATGCGTTGTTGCGAGTAAACCTGCGAATAGATCATCATCATCATCAATGACAGCAACATCAGTGTTGGGACTGATGCTTCACTGCCGTACAACCATAAAGTTCGTTTATATATATATATATATATATATATATATATATGCATTAAAAGCCCTACAGAGAAGAGAAGAGAAAAAGAGTGGGTGAGGGAGAGGACCTAGTGCTGGCCTATGTCAAGCATACTGAGGTGCCTACACCTCCAACCGCTCAATCAGACAATCTGGAAAGAAAC